GGCAGTACAGAAACACTCCTGCAATAAATAAATACATATATACATGTCTCTTGCAAGTAGACCCATTTTTGCAAAGCAGTTTCCCACGATACAATGCATTTTTGTATGCCATTTCTATTTTATCTGCGTTTTGCCCAAGTGCATTTTTATACACATTACTTGACTGCAAAATTAGAGGAAGTGTGAATTTCAAAGGGTGGAGGATGTTTCAACTCTCATATTGTTTCAGGAAGAGCAAAATAGGTAGGTTTGTCTTTAAATGAGAATTGAGTTTCTCCCCCATGCCTGCAAATGGGAGGGGCCAGTGTAGGGAAGTCCTTCCTTCCCACTGGATGTGAGAAAGACATCTGGATTATGAACAATAATTTAGAAAGAACCTCACATGTGCTCTTACGGAATGACCACAATTATCCTGAATGCGTTGACGCTATTCAAACTCCTGTCTCCACGCATACTTCTTGGAAATGGTCCTCGGAGCCCACTGAATGTATTTGATTAAGTTGTTATGTCGCTACATACATGATGTATTGGCCCCAGTAGTAGCGATATGATGGATGGTTTCATCACGTTTATTACACAGGCAACAGGATCCATTCTCTCCTGGTTGCTGGGATGATTTTTACCCACTGTGTGATTTTTTTATACCTAATTTTCAATGTCAAAAACACTGGCTCCAAGTGATGATGTGACAGAATAGATTTCCATCCATCTAAGTGACAGTATGGAGCCTCCCCATAATAATCTAAAAAACCTGCTTCACTTTTCTTTCCGTTGTCATCATGTTGACAATACGCCTTTCTTCATGCACATATCTGAAATGCCTTCAAAAACCTATTTTAAGTAATATTAAAATTCAACTCAGAGCGTTGGCAGTCTTCTGAGATGGACCCTTTTAATGATTGCACTCTTGGAATATTGGATGGATTTGTCATTTTTGGATGAAGTGATTCGGTTTTGCGTTTCCTCTTCAAGTTATAGATTAGGTGGCAGTTCACATATTCTAAAAATCAGTGACTGGAAAATAGGAATAAGTGTTCTTCCCATAAATGTTTTCAATAATTCTTACTACAACCCTGCAAGGTAGAACAAAGTTGGTCATTATATATTACAGTTTGGGGTGAAGGTTGAAGCTCAGGGATAGTCGTTTGTCCAAGACACACTCAAGGGAGTTGAATTGAAATAGGTTGCAGTAACTACCGTATATTATACAAAGATGCCTTCTGAATTAGGATGACAAAACTATATACAAGTGCAATTACTTAGGAAAAATGTGCTTGTTTAACTTGGTTGCCTTTTGAAACATTTTTTCCCCATGAAAGTTTATGAGGGTGTGTGTCTCCATCTATGTGTCTGGTCCTTAGCTTTCCCTTCCTGTTTAGCAGAAGAAGAAGAGTTTGGACTTGATATCCCGCCTTTCACTCCCCTTAAGGAGTCTCAAAGCAGCTAACAATCTCCTTTCCCTTCCTCCCCCACAACAAGCACTCTGTGAGGTGAGTGGGGCTGAGAGACTTCAAAGAAGTGTGAGTGGCCGAAGGTCACCCAGCAGCTGCATGTGGAGGAGCGGAGACGCGAACCCGGTTCCCCAGATTACGAGTCCACCGTTCTTAACCACTACACCATGCTGACTCACCCAGTTTGCATTTGTAACAGCTGCTGCTCTGGCTTCAGATCTGGTTGTCTCTCCATTTTGACTTACTTCACCTAAAATTTACACTACGTTTTCCAGCTGTATTCTGCATTGGGTTTTATGGTTTTATGCTTGGTTGTTTAAGTGGAACTCTGCTTAGTTATTGGGAACCGTATAATATGCAAATTATAGCACAATCTATGCATATTTACCCAGAAGTAAGCCTGTATATGTTCAACTGGGTTTAGGTCTGCAGCCTAAATATAGCACACCAATATGGATATGTGTATAATGCATGGAAGATGGCTTTGTCCACTAAACAGAAACCTGGCCTTGGAGTTCAGAGTTGTGGCTTTGTTCCTCAATTTATTTATTATATAGAACCTTGGGCAAGCTACTTGCTCACAGCTTCTGTTCTTGATCTGTAAAATGTGGGAATGGAAAGTGGCTCACTTACTAGGTTGCTGAGAAGGGGGAAATAATAGAAGTGTGAAATATTTCGTACAGTGGTATCTTGGTTCTCAAACTTAATCCGTTCCAGAAGTCCGTTCCAAAACCAAAGCGCTCCAAAACCAAAGTAATGCAAAACAGATTAATCCATTCCAGACTTTTAAAAACAACCCCTAAAGCAGCAATTAACATGAATTTTACTATCTAACGAGACCATTGATCCTCAAAATGAAAGCAATAATCAATGTACTGTACTATAAAATAAATAAGTCAGTATTGTAGATGATAAAAATAAAAATTATTATTATTTTTCTTACCTGCACTGATGATAGTCACTGTTTAGATGGGGGGCTTTTATCCATTTCCGCAGTCACACAATCAATCAATCAGTAGCTGAACTGGTTGCCACACAGTCACAAAAACAAATTAACTGAAAAAGCCTCAAAAACAAAAATGCAAAATAAATAGCAAAAACAAAAGCGTCAGACTTAATCTGTTCTGGAAGTCCGTTTGACTTCCGAAATGTTTGAAAACCAAGGTGCTGCTTCTGATTGGTGCAGGTGCCCCAGAAACAATAGCCAACAGCCTCATCGAACGTTCAGCTTCCGATAATTGTTCAAAAACTGGAGCGCTTACTTCTGGGTTTTTGGCACTTGAGAATAAAGCATTTGTGAACAAAGACGTATGAGAACCAAGGTACCACTGTATATTAAAAGAGCTGTGCAATGATAAATTGTGGCCATCTGATTGGAGTATTCTTCATCTGTTCTTTTTCACGCTATGTAAATGCATAAAAAGAGCCCCTGTTGGTGCAGACCAAAAGCCCATCTAGCATCTCCCCCCCCCGCCCCCCCGTGGCCAACCGGATACCTAAAGGAAGCTCACAAGCAAGGCATGTGGGAAATAGCCCTGTCCTGCTGTGATTCCAAAGTTAAGATTTTACATTTATCAAGGTCAAAAGATATGGCATTATATCATGTGAACATTTTTTTCTCACTTTCCCACCCCCACCCCCCTCCCATTCCTCCCCTAAATGCATTTAATATAACAAAACCAGTGCTGGCACTCCCATACTGATATAATCTGAGGCTAATTCCAGTAGGAAACTTCTTATATCCAACAATGTTAGATAATGTCAAAATCAGACATGCTCGTTCCAGAGCAAGCCAAAGGCGAGAGGTGATGTACAGTATCTTGGGAGGGAATGCCACAGTATATTTTAATTGGATCCCTAGTTATAAACCTTATCGTCCTTCAGACACTCATTAGTACCGTCCCCACATTCACTGGCACCGTCAAAGAATGGATCGTTGTAGAAAGAATGTGTACAATCCAGGGGCCTTGTGTAGAACTGAATAAAATGCAGTCGACTACATTGGCAACCATTGTAAGTTTCCTGAAATTTAGTTTTGTTTTAGGGGTGCCTCCCTTTTGTTCTGCAGAGCCCTTCCTTGTATTTCCATGGAGTGATCTCTCTCCCTCTTTTGCCCCATGGTCTCACATATTCACAGATTGCTTTTAATTGCTGTGTGTAAATTGGATTTGCGTTTGGATGTGTAAATGGGGAGGTACCATAGACTCGTAGTGGAAGAGATGCTTTGCATACAGAAGATCCCATTGGTACTTCTGCCAAGAGGTAACCTCAGGGCAAAATATAGCTATTGAGGCCTCTTCCTGTGCCTGAAACACATTGCATCCCCTGACATTATCTGGGGATGGTGCGCTGGATGAATTTATGGAACAGTGACATGATAAATGTATTCTATAGTTTAATTATTAATATTTAATGACAAATTAAGAAATAACAATGAATGCTGATTCACTAGATGGGCAAACCATTTCCCTGGCATGTGAATTGGCATGCATGGTTTTTAGAAATTGAATTTATTTTATCTACCCTGCTTTACAGGTATGCAAAAGCAGTATTTTACCATCACAGGAAATGACAGGTCCTCACTGTAACTATAAATCATTTACAATTATAGGAAGATTTAAAGCATAAATGATCAAACATCCACATAATTATAACGAAAAACCCTTTATTGCAATCATTAACAAGTCACCTAATACATAAACAGTTGAAGTGCATTTCTTGTTTTCATTTTGGTGAATCGATCTTTTAAATTGTCAAAAGAGATTTGCCCAGCAAGCTTACTTTTTGCGGAGAGCACAACAAGGCGATGTGCTGGGTAAGACCTTAGGTAATCATTGATGACTGGGATGAGGAACTCCTGGCCTGCAGGCTGGATCCAGCCCATGCATGCCCACGGCATCCAGGCAGCACACTGGCCTGGAGCCCACAGAGCTTTCCACTTGGGCACATGCCCACTCCACCTTTGTCTTGGAACTCCAACCACAGAGAAAGCTGTCATAGCTTCACCACTCCTCACCAGCTCTGGACAGGAAAGGAGAAGGCAACAGGGCTTCCTTTCATCTCCAACTTTGTTCCATGTTTCTAAGATGCAGCATGTGGTTGGGGATAAGTTCCCAGCTCTTGAGGCATAGTCGTGTCCTGGAAAACCACCAAAAGAAAGAGAGAGAAAGAGAAAAGAGGGTGGCATAGAGTGCCTGTGTGTGAGGAAGAGAAGCTCTGCATACTTTGAGCTCTGGCTCTGTTCACCCTCAGCCCCCACCTCCATTGACCTCTACAGCTTCCGCACACATGCTCTGCTAGTTTCAGCACATACAACATGCTACAGGGATGCCTACTTAAGGCAACACATATTTGTGAAAATAGATTCTGCAAGCATTTGGTGTAATTTGCTTCAGGGCAATCATTGTGCAGTTTTGGCACGGTGGCCGCACAATCTGGATTCCTTTTAAATTTTAATGAAAGCTGGAGCTCTTTGCACATTACTATGGTAACTGAGGGCAGGTCACAATCGCTTCTTCATCTACATCAGATGGCTGACCTCCTATGCTAAGGGCCTCAAGCTTGGTGGGGACCTGAGGCAGTTTGTCCTCTTCTCTGCACCATTGGGGGCCACTCATGTAAAAGGATTAGAGGACAGTTGATGCAGAAGAGCTCTGCCCTGAAGAGGTGTTGTCCGTCAGCATAGCCACAACAAGGATAGATAGATGAATAATATGACTTGCTATGAGTATACTAAAGCTAAATGGTTTTTAAAATAATCTCCAGGAACACCATTACTGGACTTCACTTTTCCTCAACAGATATTGCTAGTGACCTACTTTAAAAAGGACATTCCTCTCATCTGAAGGGCTGCCAGAAGCACAATTTGAGGACCGTCTAGCAAGTCTGATTTAAAGGAGCCATAAATAAAGAGAGCAGGAACCCTGAGGTTAGCATCACATGGTCATCAGACTGAGCAGGCACACAAGTCACCTGGTTTCTTCCCACAATGGTGAGAGATATTGTATTTCTCTTTAAATGATTTCTAAATTTCATAGAATCACAGAATTGTCAAGTTGGAAGGGACCCCAAGGGTCATTCAGTCCAATCCCCTGCAAGGCAGGAATCTCAACTAAAGCATCCGTGAGAGGTGACCACCCAATCTTTGCTTAAAAACCTCAATGAATGTGAGCCCGCCACCTTCCAAGGGAGCCCATTTCAATGCCGAACAGCTCTTACCATCAGAAAGTTCTTCCTGATGTTTAGTCAGAACCTCCTTTTTGTAACTTGAATCCTCTAAGTCTTCTCCAGACTAAAACCTACCCAACTCCCTCAACCATTCCTCATCTTGGTTGCCCTCCTCTGCAAATGTTCAAACTTGTCAATATCCTTCTTAAATTGTGGTGCCCAGAACTGGACACAGTGCTCCAGGCGTGGTCTGACCAAGGCAGGATAGAGTGGGACTATGACTTCCCTTGATCAAGACACTATCCTTCTCTTTATGCAGCCTAGAATAGCATTAGCTTATTTGGCAGTAGCTGCACAATATTGTGTTGCATTGTGGTGTTGAAATGTTGTAACCTGCCCTGGGATCATCGAGTGAAGGGCAGACTAACAACAACAACAACAACAACAACAACATGTAAGTTTTATGCAAATTGGTATCCCCTTTTGTCCTATTTTTTGGTGATGCATTTTGGCCGGTAGATCATATAAGTAGACATTCTGCCCTATTCCCTGGCATCTGTGACTTTTGTGTGTGTGGTGGGAGCCTGATAAAGGAGCCGTTGATTATTTTTGCATGTTGCACTCAAGGAAATGCCACTGGGAGACTTTTGCAGTAGTTTTGAACCAAAGTTCATTCTTGGTTATGGGCCAGATAGGCAGAACATATCCAAAGTCAAGGTGAAGAGCAGCTACCTTGGGTATTTTTAGAACACCTCCCCCACCAGTAGTTCAGAACCCACTACTTGAAAACTTACTATTTAGATTTAAGATTATTTTATGGAGAATTGTGTGTGGATATAGAATCACAGAATCATAGAACTGTAGAGTTGTAAGGGACCCTGAGGATCATCTAGTCCAACTCCCTGCAATGCAGAAATATGCAGCTGCCCCATATGAGGATCGAACCTGCAACCTTGGCGTTATCAGCACCAACTGAGCTATAATTGTCTAAAGCTCCTTGCTTGGAAGTAGGTCCTGTTGAAGTCTTATTACATGGTTATGGTTAGTAAGTCCAGAATTCTATAACAGAAATTATATGTTCCAGTTTTGAAGTATCTGAACAGCTGTTTTTTGGTGTTTCTTTCTGTTTTTTAAACAAGGTGACGAAATTTATTTTTGCTGGGACTAGCACTGGCAGTTTTAATATCTTGGAGATTCTTTGTGATCTTGATAAATGCTTATTAGTCATACTATATAATACATAAACAGGCGAAGTCACATTTGAATTGTAAGTACTTTGTTTCCCCAGCAACACCACAGTGAATGCATTTTTGGCCTGAAGATGAAAAATGGCCTCTTCAAGAGCAAAAAACCTTCCAGCCTTGAAACCGCCTCCCACCAACAGACTAAAACTGATCTATCTATGTGACTCATTCCGAGGGATTCTTTGATAGGGGCATAAACATATCCTGGAAGCCAACCTTTCTGCTGGGACTTTAGTTAATATCCCTCCAAATTATAGTTTGAATCTTTAATAAGTGTAGTTGATGGTGGCTTTAATTTTATGCCTTATTTGAATAATGATACTTTTAGCTTCTGAGGCTCTATATCATTTTGGATATTGGCTTACTAATGACTTTGAAAGACACAAGCCGGTGTTTGGGTGAGTTTTATTGTATATAAAAACTCAATTTTTATAGGACTTGTTCAGTCCTGTCTTTGTCAGTTTATGGAAGACAACAAGACTTCAAGCTGAAATGCAAAATAGAAATCCATTATTAGAATTTAAATCATCCTTTGTGACATTAAATGTAAAATAAAGTCTCATCAGGAGCACATGCCAAAGTAATATTAGTTTGACTTGCTGACATATGTCTGAAATCTGTCCTCTGAAAAATAAATTGCTTCTTATAGAAAATACAAAATCAGCATATAAAAAAGAGCCAAGTAAAAATCTATGAAGCTTGAGCTCAAACTGGAGTGAATATTCATGCTCCACTAAATTGCCACACCATTTAAATGCCTGGCTCCCCCTCCCCTTGTGAATTTCTTTACAGGATTTTTGAAAAGAAGGTCTACTTCTGATGCTGTTTTTAAATATATCAATGCACAGATTTACAGCTTACAGTACAGGCCTATGCAGGGCACCCGAGAAGTAAGCCCTATTAAAAATAGTGAAACATACTCCTAGGCAAGAGAGTATAGGGTTGCAGCCTCCAGATAAGACTAAGGCTACAATCCCAACCCAATTTACCTGGGAGTAAGCCCTGTTGAATTCAATAGGACTTACTTCTGAGCAGAATGTTTAGAATTGCAACCTGATATTAAAATCTATTTTCTCCATAAAATAACATGTTTAGCAAAATGGCAGAAGCTGTGTGAGAGGGAGAAAGAAAGCTTCATGTCCTTATTTCTCTTATATTATATTTGTACAGATCTTGATATATGAATTTATGAACATAGTTCTATGTTTGCCTTTAAAATTCATTAACATGAATAAATAAATATACAAACAAACAAACAAGGAGCAGAAGTCTAGAAGTGCATTGGTTACCATAACAACACCTTACTGTACATTTTATTTTCACAATGCTCAGAGTTGGTCCAGAAAGATTATCCATGTGATCTATTCTATTTGTTATTTTACAATATTTTTCATTCTTTGTTTTTATGTGCAATGTCTCTTTTTTCAAGTTACATTTTCTACAAATCAGTTTCATTTGTTGAGACATTAGGAAGAAAAGGGGGCAAGAGGTGGAGGGGGGAATGGTGAGTGGGGTGGGGTTGGGTGGCAATGCTTCTGTTCTACTTATGTGTGGGGTTTTGTGTCAGCGTCACTTGTGTGGGTTCTCTTTACTATTCGATTTTATTCCTTTGGTGGTGAGTGAGGTTGGGGTGGTCTAGGGTCCGGTTGGTTGTTTTTGATTGGCTGTAGTGAAATTTGTTTTTGTGTGTGAGTGGGGTGTGTGTGTGTTTTGGGATCAGGTTCACCAGATTGATTGGAATGCTGTTGGCAGATTCTTGTCGTTGTCTTGTTGGGCTGTGTATGTGATAAAAGAGAGCCATACCGGGGTGAAGGCATCTTCTTCTATTTGTCCCCATGTCAGTTTCAGTTTATTGGTTAGTTTTTCTAATAAGGCTGTTTCCCATACTATTTGATACCATGCTTACTCTGTCCTGACAGGTCTTTCCAGTGTCTGGCTATGATGTTTCTGGCTGTTGAAAGTAGATGGTTTCATACTTTTTTTTTTAAAAAAAAGAAAATCACCGTCAGAAATTCCGAGGCAGTGTATAAGAGAACAATTCACACAGCATAATATAATTTAAATAAACAGTAATAATAATCAAGCCCCAAAGCATAAAACTAAAGTACTAAGGCAGTTCTAAAATTCCATCTAAAATGCCTGAGAGCAAATTGGGGAGTTTTAAGATGGTGCAAAAATAATTGTAATATTAGCACCAGATACGTCTTCTTATGGAGAACATTCAAAATTCAGGGTGCCACTACAAAGACTACCCCTTTCCTTCGAAACTCCATAATATGCTTAAAGAAGGTGCATGGAAGAAGGGTCTCTACAGAAAATCTTAAAACACAGGTAGATTAATATGGGAAAAGGTGCTCCCTCAGTTATCTGGGTTCCAGTCTATTTAAGGCTTTAACTTAAGTGGTTTAGATTGGGCCCAGAAGCAAAAGAGTGGTCAACACAATTCTTTCAAAATAAGTGTGATGTACCATGCTTGGCTGTACCAGCTTGGATTCTGTGCTAACGTATCCCCCTGGGTCATCTTTAAGGCAGCCCCATGTTTAACACATGAGGAAGCTACCTTATATTGAGTCAGACCATTGGTCTGTCCAGCTTAGTTTTGCCTACATTGACTTGCAGTAGCTCTCCAGAGATACAGATACAGCTTGCTGGCAGCAATTTCCCTTACCATGGCAGAACATTTTAAAGGGTCCATGACTGAGAATTGTATTATCAGCTATATCCATACTTGGCTTGGCAACATGAAAATGCATCCATGGGTGTGGTAAGAGTACAGCACATGAGGGGATACATGTTTGCATTTGGCCTCATTGATCTTCTGCATACTTTTGGAAGACACCTAATTACTTTATTTTTCATCTGCCAAGAAACTGTAAAATCTAATTAGGCCTATCTAAATGAAGCCTGTCTAAACTGGAGAACATTGTTTTGTGACAGATGAATTCTTCTATATTTACCTGTGGATAGTATGTTTGTTATGATTATATCTAGATGGCCACAATATTTTGTTACTTTACTAATATGTTAGTTGGTTGTATGTATTGAGTGAGGACGCACATTCCTCTCTGGGAAGATACCTCTGGGAATGTACCTCTCATTGTTATGTTTTTTTCTGGATTCTTCTGGACCTTCCTTCCCACTCTGGAAAATCTGTTATGCCATTTGAAGTAATAATTTGCCATTCTCCTACCTTTCCTAAGAAACTGTACCATCTTACCTGCCTGAGGTAATTCTTTAAATGCTGGTAATCTTTGTATGCTCAATAAGTCCTACAGTGAACGCTCCATCTAATTAAGAATCTCTTGTTTTGAAAAAAAACAAACAAACCCTGTTGCTCATTTGTACTAAAATAAAAAAGTGTTGATAAATCCTTTACCACTATCTCTAAAGTTCTGCACATTTTTCTTTCCTTGTTCTCCACGCTGCATTTGTATCCTTTCTTCTAACCTCATGCCTTCAAAATATGCTGTCCTTTATAAGGCTCACTAAGGAAAACCCTCCTCGCTCAGGATACAGCCATGTTTTGACATCGGGCAGGTTAATTGGTGGGGGGTTTTATTCATTTCTTTATTATACCTGCACTATGGTTGTCTGAACAAAGTCAGCAATTTTATACAAAAGCAAATTCCTCTTCTTTGATAGTCTTTTAACCCCCTTGAAATGTGGATGGGAAGAGAATAATGAAATTCTGAAGAGTTTTGGTGTGTTAGGCTTGATTTTTTAATATATTTCATACACATACATGTTTGTTTGAAGCAAAGAATCCTTGATCTCACTTAATCTGTTCCCTCTAATCGAATTCTCTCCTTCATTATCCATGACCGCAACAAAACACAAACCTTGACCTTTTCAAAACGGAATGTCCTTGTATGCTTTAGACACCAGTCACATTTAGTCATCATTAAATCATGACTGGATATCGACACTAGCCCAGCATAGCAAAATACAATATGAAAGCCATTCCGTTATTCAAAGTTAATTTTAATGTTTTCTTTATCTGTGTGAGTGCTGACAAAATTTACCCAACAGACCCTCTGTGTATCTATAGACATGGATTTCTCCCCTCTGCCCATGGAAGCTATAGCAGAGTTCAGAAAGATCAATACTCATAATATAAACCTATGTGAACACTCTTGTTCTTTAACATCTTCAGAGAAGACCTCAGAGTCTTTTTCATATGGTTGTTAAAATATACAGGATAACAGATTTTGAGCAGAGAAAACATAGGGTTATACCATTACTTCCACATGTGTGTGTATATTGGTGAATGTTGGCATTTAGTGATAAATCTTAACATATTATATTTACAATATTCTAACACACACAACATGTATGTTAGAACATTTCTCTAACGCACAAACACAAACACAGAGATCTCATTTTGGGGTTATGAAATGGTAAAGGGAACTGGACATGTCACATGAGTCTCATTTTTGGCTTTGTTTTGATACCAAAACTACCTTGGTGTAAGTGAATAACTTTTGACAATGCACTACGGTCACCACAATGTTTAGCAACAGTGGTAACTGGTCTATAAACAGTCATTCAGGAATGACCACAAGTTTTGTTATTTGTAACAATGCAGTCGTACCAAGTGGTCACTTACTATGTACTTGCAAGAAATAGCTCTAAACCATTTCAAGGAGCATTTGGCTTTGCTCTCTAGATCAAAATGAACACTTCACAAAGTACAGCCTGAGTGCCCAGGAAAAAGTAGAACAAAACACAATGAAATACAAAAGTAGCGAGAGGTCAGAATGGTTGGACCTTATTTACAACAGACCCTTTAGCTCCTGGCAAAGGTTTTGTCAGAATTTAAGGAGTTACTACAGGAAGAGTTACCTATAAAATAACAGGAAAGGCAATTCAGAAATTGCTATGACACAATGTTGGCTGGGTTTGAACAGAACAACCAAGCTCTCCTGTGTAACATGTGACCTGAATTGCCAAATAATTGGCATGTGAACCATCTAAAATTATCAGTATTTTATGGACACTCTGCTTCATTGGCTGTATATGTGCACCAAGGGGATATCACTGAACTTGAAAAGAGAGTAAGTAAGGAGGCCATTGCCAGGAATAAACCACTTTTCTGTCTCTTATCTGTGAAACAAAAATTACAGTGTGTGTCACAATGCGTTGACTTTTTTTCTTTTTTTCCTATAATAAGCAAGGAGCAAAAACTTTTCTTTTACAACACTTCTGAAATGATAGACTAATTAAGCAAGAATTTACTGTTTGTCAACAATGTTTCAAAAGGCATTGTATACTTCAGGCTTCCTCAAACTCAGCCCTCCAGATGTTTTGAGACTACAATTTCCATCATCCCTGACCACTGGTCCTGCTAGCTAGGGATCATGGGAGTTGTAGGCCAAAAACATCTGGAGGGCCGAGGTTGAGGAAACCTGGTATGCTTGGACTTTCTAAATGGCATTGATAAAGTGCAGAGTGCATATGCAGGCCTCCATATGCATGGGCACTTGTGTCAAGTACTCCCTGACTGCATGGTGTACACCAAAGATTCCACTGGATGGTAACTGAGTCCTTTCTCTCTCCTGGGCTCTTGCATCTCTTCTCATTCTTTGCTTATGAAAAGACAATCATGTAAGGCACATCACCTTCCTCTTCTCAAAAGTTCTTTATGAACTTCTGACATGGGGAACCTCCTGTGAGAGCCAGTGTGGTGTAGTGGTTAAGAGCGGTAGTCTCGTAATCTGGTGAATCGGGTTCGTGTCTCTGCTCCTCCACATGCAGCTGCTGGGTGACCTTGGGCTAGTCACACTTCTTTGAAGTCTCTCAGCCCCACTCACCTCACAGAGTGTTTGTTGTGGGGGAGGAAGGGAAAGGAGAATGTTAGCCGCTTTGAGACTCCTTAAGGGGAGTGAAAGGCGGGATATCAAATCCAAACTACTCTTCTTCTTCTTCTTCTTCTTCTTCTTCTTCTTCTTCTGTACTCATGGAAGTTCTCCACATGATTCAGAACCTGGATCTTCCAGGATTCTAATGATCACATAGGGAGTCTCCATGTGTACAAGAGGCTCCCTGATCCAGCGGTTCATCCCTCAAGTCATGGAGGGTGATGGAGACAGCAATGGGAGGGTAGAATTTAGCCTACTCTTACCTATTCTTGTATCGGTTCTACAAGTGAGTAGAAGGCCTGAAGGCCTGAAGGCAGCTAGAGTTTGCATTCTGTAACCATTTATCAATCATTTGGTCCAAGTCTACCTGACTCAAGAGGATCCTGTGGTTTTTGGATTCAATCCAAAATGTCCATCTTGTGACTGTAGTCTTACTGAGATAGTCAGCTACATCACTTAAGCAGTAACATTCCACATATTTGTGAGAATCATACATACATTTTTGAGGCAAATAGCTTCCATTCAATTTGTTCAACTGCTCTCACAAAAATAAAAGAGCATTATTTGGCAGCTATAACCCTGATTTGCTTTGAAGCTACAATTGTTTACCTGAGGAAAATGCTTGTTAGAATGTTTATGCCTTGTTGAAAGGTGACATATGGCCAGATTTTAAAACGGAAATATGTGCTTTGCCAAGAAAGGTGACTTTTTACTGTAGATCCAGTTCATTAATTTTCATACAAATTGGGTGGGGGTAATCAGGTTTTGCTATGCTGTGCTGTTTTGGGGTAAAGCAGAGGAGGCAAGGCCTGACTAAAATGCCACTAATGAGGTGATTCTGCCGGAAAAGATTTTACTTTATAAAATGACACAGTGAATTTCTGGAATGCTGCCCATTTGTTAGCTTTCAGTTACTTTTCAACACTTTTGTTGCATTTGTTAACAAAAGAAAGTGGTAAATCTCACAAACGTGGTTTCTCTTTTTGTTAGTGAGCAGAACTCAAATCACAAGTCATGCACATCATTTTTCAGCAGTCTCCAGAGACACTCCCTCTATTCTCTAGCTTAACCAGGCTAGATGCCTTGTGTTCACACCTGGGGCCTCACTTAACAGCATCAAACTCACTGTGTTTGTGTGTTACTTGCCTTCTCTTTTAATGTGTGCTTTATCTCATTTGAGTGATTTAAATGGAGGCATTTGCATCGGATGTACCTGTCAATTAAGCAAAGGTTCTCTGATGGTGAAATGCTAATTATATTGATTATTTTGTGGGACCATGTTGGACATGGAGATAGACATACAGTGGTACCTCGGGTTAAGAACTTAATTCATTCTGGAGGTCCGTTCTTAACCTGAAACTGTTCTTAATCTGAGGTACCACTTTATCTAATGGGGGGTCCTGCTGTCGCCGCGCTTTACTTCATCCTGAAGTAAAGTTCTTAACCCGAGATACTATTTCTGGGTTAGCGGAGTCTGTAACCTGAAGCATCTGTAACCTGAAGCATCTGTAAGCACACTGGAATGGGATTTTATTTTTGGCTCCTTTCTAATTGCTTTATTTCTTTGCAGATTTTAAACCCATGCAATTATAACCCAGGATTTACCATCACTTCTGTTCACAAAGTAAAGGTTTGTCCAACATCCACTTCAAACACCCAAATCCTACCCACCTCTGTCCAGATAGATAAGTGGTGGAGTCATCTCCTAAATAGATAACTGAGCATCTCCTAAATGCTCACCTTTAATTTATAGAAATGTATGTGGATAATGTTAAGCTAAAAATAACCATCAATTTCAGGTAAAGCTCATAAATTCATAGTTCACACAAAAGACATTACTTGCCTGAAAGAGACAAACATGGTGAAAGGGGTTGTGGGATTATGTATTTAGTTCTGCCGCAAGGTTGTATGGTTCCTACAACCCCCATTTTGAAACAGGAAGCATCTTAGAGGCAGTTTAGAGACATAGCTGATCAAGGCTCTAAATCACACAGAGAGTGATTTAGAAAAGATTCCCCACTTCAGAGGTTATGCCCCAAAACAGTGATGTCCAGAAGAGCCACATTTTGGCAGGGAGGGAGGCTAAGCAAATGGGGGTAATAGTCAACTAATTTTTACTCAGAGTAAAGCTACTGAAATGAGTGGGTGAAACTTAGTCATCTTGATTAATTTCAATGGGTCTATTCAGAGTAAAAGATAGTTGAATTTCACCATACTTGCCACCTTCATGGGTGTAATGTCTAAATAAGTCTTCTACACCTATGGAAACAGGTAAGCTACACACAGAAACAAACTATCCCATTCTAGCAGGCAGAAACCTACAAAAGAGGAATCACTGAGAAGTGATACAAAGGCAGCACAGTCCACAAACACACCACCCAATGAGCAGGAAGATGTTCTTTAAGAGGCCAGGCACTGATGCAAGTAGGAATCAGAGAACGTGTGAGCACCAAAGACCGTTCCCACACAACAGGCTGCGTCTTTGAATGCAGGAGCAAGTCAACTTCAAACTTGTGAGGTCTCCTTTGTTCTTTACAAGAACCCCAATATATAGAACAAGAAAGTTTCTGAGTATATTCTGAGACTGGCAATTTGTTTTCAGTACCAGAATTGAGCTGAGCTCACAGTCCAGTCACACAAAAGTCCACTTCTGGTTAGCTTTCTTAATTTTAGTTAGCTGGTTTAGATGAGAGAAGTCATTTTGCTGTTGAATTCAGGGCAGAAACTCTCACCTATCTACTGCAAATCATCCAGGGATCGACCAGTAGACCCCTTCTGTCCACTCCTGCAGTCCAGACTTAGCCCTTGTTCCTCCATACCAGCCCAGCAGTGCCAGATTTATGTATAGGCTAAGTAGGCTGAAGCCTAGGGCCTCTTAATCTAGGGGAGCCTCGCCAGCCTGCCTGCTCCCCAGCCAGCAACCTCCCGTCTCCCAAAATTGCAAACCCAAGACTTCATGCAAGGCCACGGCAACTTGGGTCTCTAAATCTAGGGGGCCTCACCAGCCTGCCCTCTCCCCAGTGCCACAGTCTCCACCCTCTCAAAATTGCAAACCCAAGGCTTCATGCAAGGGCAGGGCAACTCAGACTCAGCAACTATGAGACTCAGGGCTAGCCAGTGGGACCCAATTTGAAGATGTGGGGCCCAAATTTAGGGTGTTTTTTTTTGTAGGGCCCCAGTTCACAGCCAAAGTCTGCAAAATCTTATAGATATAAATAAAATCCATCTAGATTGCCCTGGTGCAAGGGCCCCCTTCAGAGCAGCCTGCGGGGCCCAGTTTGGCCAAATTGCTCCAATTGCCTTAAGGTCAGCCCTGATGAGACTGTGCGGGGGTTGGACTGACAAGCCCTGCACTTCTAGGTCCCTGGTGTCACTATTCAGAGTACAGACTCAAGGACTTGTTATGGAAATAAAGGGGGCACTTATTGGAAATCAGTTTTGTCACCTGTTGCCCCCCCCCCCGGACGATGAGCCCAGCCACCTTTTATTCACAGTCACATGAGCACTGCACTACAGCATGGCCATAAACCTGTACGTTCAACTGCTGAAATACGCACCCAATATGTAGCAATGGAGTTTTATGTTACTGCTTTATGAATGAAGACTGTTTTATTAATGGACTCTGTATTTTTGGAATTACCTAAGAACCACCAATAGGGAGCTCTAGAAACTGACAGCTAACCAATCAGGTACTACCAAACAACAACCCCTATTGCTGAAAGCAGGTAACCAGCAGGAGCTTCAGCTCAGCCTTTGCACTACTGACTGAACACCCGCTGCTGTGCAGATAATGGAGAAAGCTCATAAATTGTATCCCTTCTGGCGTCCTGGCCAACTCTATTATGCACCAGGAGCCCAGAATAGCAGCAAATATATTCCGCATATACGTCAGCGACTGATAAGACTTGTCATCCAGTTCTTCCGAAGTCTTCCTAAATTATAAAGCTCCAAAATACAGGTCAAAAGAGAGCAGGTCTGGGAAGAGTGAGGCATACAATGGGCACCACCAGTGAAAAGGCACTGCTCCGTGTAGCTCCTGCCCTGTCATTTGACAGGCTGCCCACTTGCCCTCCTTCTTGACATGGAATGCTCTCTGTTGGAGTCTCCAGGTCTAATCTAGAAACCATAAGAAGGGAGAGCAGGGACCTTGAAGTTCCCAACAGCTGTTAATCAAGCAAGCAAGCATACAGGTCACCTTTGTCACAGGACACCTATGTCCTGGCCAGGCCTGCACCCAATCTTGTTTTTGTACAATCTTGTTTGTTCTCAGTAACCAAAATTATATTATCAATATATACAAGCAGAAAAGTTGTTTTCCTTCATTTGCAAGGCATCATACAAAACAAAGTGGTACTAATAAAGAAAAGTTCCAGGGTGGCAACAGAAAGCAAACTAAAAATGCTTTTGCAGTTCATCAGAACTATCCAGCAATATCAAGTTACAGGAAAACTGGTGCTGTTAACAGTAACCCTTCTAGTTGGTTAATTGATTTGGCAACGTCCATGCACATGACGTCTGATGCTAATTCCCCCCCCCAAGAGTTAAATGATAACTCATCAGAGGCAGCTATAGTTTCAACTGGAAACAAAATATCTGTGAAAGGAAGAGAAGCAGGTGTGCTCAAGTGTGTTGCAGGTAGTAATATTATGGCTGCAGACCAAATCATCTGTCAGGAGAGCTTTGAGATTCAGGTGAGGGTCATATGCCTTGTCAATCCCAGCAGGTATATAACAGGAAGACCAGCCTGCCCATACCTTATTTTAAGAATAACATTACAACTTAATTTTCCTAAGAAATAATGCTTATTCCACAAAATGTTGGAATCAGTGCCCGGGTCACTGCTTAAATTTAGGGATATAACACAAAATATTTTTTAACTGCTGGTAAAAATAAGCTTTTTATGGTACTGTATTTCAAAATATTCATTATTTCTATGGGCTGAAAAATCTACAAAAGTACTAGAAATATTGAATTACCACTCTAGTTTGAAGTGCATATCGCACTGGCCTTCTTGCATATTTAAAGACGAAAATCTAAAAAGGCACATATGAATGTAGAGAAAATGCTGTTTTCATAAGTATGTGAACCAAACAGTCCCATATTAAAGAAATAACCATGATGTCAAGGCTGCCTCAAGTCTCAGCTCACAAAAGACCAACGCCTATGTCTTCTTATATACAAAGGTGTTTATTGCAGTTCATGGTTTGCTTGACATCCTAGGCGCGCAGCCTTACGTCTCTTACGCTAGACCGCTGAAGTCCCCTCTGAGTCAGTCCCTCCCTGCACCAATTTAAGAGACTTGCGCTGCTCCACCTCTTTCTCTCCTTCCTTTTCCGCAGGGTCCTTCTGCCCGCTGGGGTTGCGCCCCTTCTGGATTCCTCTGACGCTGAATCCCCAGACTGCTCTTCCCCTCCTGCGGGCTTTGGGACCTGGCCCCTCCTCCGGGCTCCCTGTACTTCCGCGCGCCTCTACATTTGAACTAGGCGCGCGCGCCAAACCTCTAACTTTCCTTTTGACAGTTACACTACTCCCTTCACTGCTCCCCTCCCTTCCGGAAGGGCGGCTTGCTCTGACCTCCCTCCTTTCTCTGCTCCTGGAGCTGCTTCCTCTGACACACTGGAAACTCCACCCCCTTCGCTGCACTCTGGTGGGGAGGCTGGTCCTGACGCCCAGCTGCCACTTTGGGATCCTCCGCTGGCCCCCTGCTCCTGACACGTCCCTCCTGGGGCTCCCTGGCCTTAACCACCGGCGCCCCCTTCTGGGAATCCTCTGATTCGCTGGAAAGACTCATGGAATCTCTTGAGTCATTGTCATCCTCTTCCTCGCTGGCTTGGAATTCCTCCCCATCGCTCTCCATCTCCTGCCTACCCTGTCCCTCTCTCCCTGAACCCCTGACACATGATAACTTTTCTGTAAAACTACTTTCCATGAATTAATATAGTGAAGAAAGTGAGTCTCCAAAGGCCTGATTCCCGGCATCTAGAACTTAAGTGCACTTTGTCTTCCTTTGTAATTATTTCTGAGATGTAAAGTGTTCTGTATTCTGATAGCCACAGGGAAAACAAGATGAAAATGACCTTTAAACAAACAACCCTTGTGTAGTTTTCATATCAGTTTTCAATAATGCATCTCCTTTTTGAATAAGTGTTTAAAGATTCTTTCCCATACATGATTGAAGAAAGTCAATAATATGTTTTCTGGTGGGAGGGGTGTTAAGCAACATTTTAAAAGGTATTTCTTGACAAGTTCTAAATGTATTTGGAGTATATAATCTGAAGTGCCATAGCAATAAGACCAAAGTGAATTAAACCAAAATATTTTTTTAAAAAAATTAATAGGAATAGTTTAGATTAAAACATAGTGACAAGACTGCATTTTTCTTTCCCACAAGTGACCTCAACATTACTCAAAAGCAGCTCCCACCAAGATTGCCATTATGTGTTCTGTTATTCAGACTGAAAGTTTGCTTTGAATTTGTGCTGATCAAAAACAAACACGCATTTTGCACAATCTTTTATTTATGAACAATGGTGATTTTTATGAACAATGGTGATTTATGGTGTTATAATCCCAGTTCAAAAACTCACTTAAACAAATGCTAGAGAGCTTTCTTCAATAGTATCTTCAGTGAACAAATTCTTTAGGGGCAGAAATGGCTTTGAGAAGGTAGATAATCTGATTTATTTTAACTTAATCTGTCTGAGGGATATTCACTTATATGCGGCCAGATTGTCTTCATTTTAAAAAAAGCTATTTGTAACACAAAAGGGGGGAAATCAAGTCTGATTCAGAAATGGTATCACATTTTTCTTTTCAATTAATGGCTGAAACATCAGTTCAGTGGTCTGCATGCTCAATAGCTTCTCATTGCCAGCCTGGATAGATGAAGTTCCACAAATTCATGGGGTTAGATTGATGTAATGGCTAGAGTACATCATTTGGATGTTGGCATACTTGTTCACATTCCCCAGTCACTTATGAAGTTTATCAGGTAGCCATCTGTAATGCATTATTCCTCAGCTTGACAGGATGGCTATGGGCACTTTGGGGAAAGGAAGGAAGTATAACTAGTATTGCCTGTTGTTTCATATACCTAGCAATGAACAAGCCTCATCTACATGGCCAACGAATAACACAATTACATGGCAATGTAAATATGGGGCCCCTTAATATTGCAAGTACATACTTCATTGCAGAGCAATAATTATATCTACATAATATATCTAACCTTTGAACATATATGCAAGCATAAGACGGGATGTGCAGGGAAAACAGTTCCTTTACTTTCAGTTCAATAATAAATTGGTGAGCTCTGGTAGCATCTAAAATAAGAAAGACACATTATTTACCTGACTGCTGTTGTCTCATTTTGGGCAAATTTCTGGTAAATCCCCAGTTCATCAGCCCTCACTGAAAGATGCACAGATATAAGGGTAAGATGCATTAATTCCAAATAATGTCTGATTATAATTTGAGCTTTTACCTGAAGAGGGGGAAGAACACAGGTTTTCCTTATTTTGAAAAAGATTTATGGAGTTTGCAGAGACTCTTTTACTGCCTTTATTCCACCTGGAACAAAAATAGTGAAACATATTGAGTGTACCCGTACACACAAGCTTCCAAATAGTCTCACATGACAATGCTTACACTTGAACATATTATAATGGCACCTGACCTCTTCTTTTGCCTCTAGCACATTCAGTCAATCTTTCCTTTCCTTGCTGTGACTAAATGAGTGTCATGGTAATAAGCTGTCAGCAAGTACCTGTTGCCTGCATTTGGCTTTCTAAATTCAGTTTCCTGGCCTAGGTTCCCAATCTTACAGTCCAGTCACTGAGGACAAGCAGTTGCATTTAACACCTGTAGGACTTTGATTGACATTTGGGCGCTGGCAGTTTGTGAGCATCGTCTTTGTTGTTAAAGAGGGTCAAGAAAGGCAAAAAGCAAATTCACTTACTATGCGGCTCATGGGCTTACAAGGTTTTCCCCCCTTTTGCTTTGCTAGTTATGCCTTGAAGCTGCCTACTCTTCAACTATTTGGCTTGCAAAATCTGCAAGCACCTCTTTCAATGTGTCTTCAGTGGAAGGTCTTTGAAGCCTGTGAACCAGCTTGTGAATGTGCAGCTATCTGCACAGGCAGGTGCAATAGAACATCTATCTTTAAATAACCACCTGAAGGCTTAAGAACACTTTCCACCAAACACACTTAGCTAAAATAACCTTTGCTCAAACACACATGTCTTTGTAAGATAAAATGCTTTCTCCACACAAATAAATAACTGAAGCACTGTCTACGCAAGCTAGTACCAACTCTGAGTTTTTGCCATGCTTTTCCACATTACACTCCAATTCCAATCCAAGCCCCAGCCACACAGTTGTGAACATGAATGCAAAGCAAAGTTTTGTTTAAGTATTTTAAAGAAAAGTTTGTCTTCTGGTAATGCAGGAGATTTTGTTCTGTTTAGTTTTTTGCTGGCATCTTTGGCCTGTGAAAGAACAAGCAGTTCTGTTGTTAAAGCTCTGTGTTTGAAAAATATTTATATTGTCCCATAAAAAGACACAGTGCTTAAATTCTGGTATGGTATTTTGTTTTCACATACTTTGCCTTATCCACATTGCCTTGTTGTTTCACCATGTGTTTTCTCCTAAAAACCTTGGCTGCAACAAAACCCATGAAATCTTTTGCATTCGCCTCTGGGCTCTGACACAATGCAGAGACAATGGACACAACTTTACAGAGAGGTGTTGATCTGCCTCATTAGAGGTGTGGCACACAATTTTTGCAAGCCAAATAATGGAAGTCACCATCAATGTAAAACTGCCAAAGTCGGGGCGGGGGGGGGGAATATTTTGGTATAAGAAAATGGTCAGAGTTCATACCCCTGTCCAGTGTCTCATATCTATGAAATGGGGGCAAAACAGTCCACCCCTTACCTGAAACATTGCTGACAGAGCTGCCATTGCTGATCCAATTTTGTAAAGACATGCCCCCTCTCTTTTCCCTCCCCCTTGGCTGCTATTCAGGGACAGCTGTAACTCTTTTGTAGCTCCCAACCACCCTTGCAAAACACATCAACACTGAAACTGCAAAATTAGTCTGTGAGTTGCTGGTCTGGCAAGCCAAATGATCAGGCAGTACAATGCATGAAGGAGTAGTTGTTATTTCTACATTTAAAAAATGGAAGTGTCTTCACAGTGCTGTTTGTATCAAATCCAGCCCCATCCCTCTGCCCCCCAAATTTTATCTGCATTTACCATTTCCAAGGAAAATGTCCTAAGTAAAAAATAATAATATTGTCAATGACCCATTTCCAAAGCACTTGGGGGAAAGAAAAAAAGAGGGGAGAACCTGGGCTTCTTTCGAAATTATTAACTGGATGCTACCAAAAGCAATACATCTCATTCATCTACAAATTTAACACTAGATTACTCTAATGCTAGTTTTGTAATTTTTGCCTCATGCTTCTAAGCAAATAATATTTTGTTAAAAGATAAGCCTACTTCTTAGCACTATTGCTGATACTCAGAGAGATGGAAATCTATTCCTTTTTCAGATAAATCTAAATGTATTATAGGAGCATGATTTAGAAGGTTAGGCCATTTTTCATTCTGTCCAAGAGATGAAATTTAAGATGTTAATAGTTTGGAAAACATCATTTGAAGAGCATATGCATTTAATCACTTCTGAGCTTGGCTCGAACGTATGGAATTTTAGATGAAAAGCATGTCTGTTTTCTTCTGGAAGATCTATTTTCGGTTTGGCTTCCGCTTCCCCCTATATCTGTCATACAGAAAATCTGATTTGTGCTTAAGTCCTGGATTGTCTGATTTATTTATGCTATTCTCCAAATTTGTGGACATCAATACTCATCTTCTTCAACTGCCATAGCCTTATAGAAAGTGCTTTATGGCTGACTATTAGCATGGTACTTTCTTGTGGGAGTCACTACTGTTCCACAGTATTAGCCTATTTTTTCTTGGGAAGATGTTTAATGACAATAAATGAAATTATATTAATAATATTATGCTTTTAAACATTTATTGTAATATTGATGGGAGAGGATAGTTAAGACAATTTCAGATCAGATCAGGATCAAGGCAGTGGTCACCTAAATGCTAATGAAATTAAACATGGATATTAACATTATTGTTTTCCACCTGCCTGCTGCTGAGCATTACACAGTTGCAGCCAGCAAGTTAAACATGTTTTCAATCCCTGCTTTCTCCAGTGTGTATTATGGATTAATACAATGCTTCATGGCTCACCTGCATTAGCTTTTTACATCAGTGTCACCCAGGGACAGTGAGATAGCAGAAGTGAAGACATACTGTATATGTTAAAAATATAGACTTAAGCCCCTTCGTATTGATGTGCTTTGTGTTTCTTCACACACATTCATGATACTATTAAAACTCATATAGATTGGCATGAACCTATGAAGCTAAAAACACAGGATAAATAAATAAATTATCCATTCATTCATTTTATTTGTATGCTACTTTTCCACTGTTGTCTTTGTCCATGGAGTTTTCTTGGCAGGGATACTGGAGTGGCTTGCCGGTTCCTCCTCCAGGTGGATCACGTTTGGTCAAAACACTCCACTATGACCTGTTCATCTTGGGTGCCCTGCTCGGCATAGTTCATAGCTTCTCTGAGTTATTCAAGCCCCTTCGCCATGGCAAGGCAGTGATCCATGAAGAAGGACAGATCGTGAAGCTGAGGCTCCAATACTTTGGCCACCTCATGAGAAGAGAACACTCCCTGGAAAAGACCCTGGTGCGGGGAAAAGTTGAGGGCACAAGGAGAAGGGGACAACAGAGGACGAGATGGTTGGATAGTGTTCTCGAAGCTACCAGCATGAGTTTGACCAAACTGTGGGAGGCAGTGGAAGACAGAAGTGCCTGGCTTGCTCTGGTCCATGGGGTCACGAAGTGTAGGACACGACTAAACGACTAAACAACAACAATTTTTCTACTCACACAAAATCCTGCTGAAAGCGGCTTACAACAAATAAACAGGAATGCATTTCAAACAAACACATGTTGGCATCCGACTGCCCAAAGAAACAATGGAGTACACCTCCAGGAATGAAGTCAAACTGCTGCGTTAGCAGCACCAAAGAGACCTCCCCAGGGCATAAGCCTGGACAGTATGTAGGGAGATTCTGGGCTGTCCAGGCAACAAGACCCTCCCTCTCAGCCTCACTGATGTGGTCCAAAGGAAAGCAGAGCAATATCTTTGGTAGCAGCTTGGCTGCAGGAGTTGCCAGAAGGAGGTGTACAAGGCCAACAATCTTAGGGACTCGACTCCAGATTTGTGTGGAGTGTACTCCTTAGCCTTTTATTCTTCTGAAGCTATCCCACAAGGCAGCGGAGGTTCAGGATCAGAACTTTCCTTCTCCTAGATGGGCTACTTTCCCAGGTTGATCAGCCCCATCTGCCCCCTCACTTCCTTCTACAGCACATGCAGAAACCACCTTCTTAACTGTTGGACCCACTATTAGTCTTGTCTGCTCAACCCACCAGAGCCCATCTTCACATGCAGAGGAAGTCCCTAACTCACTGAAGGTTTGAGACCATCTGCTACCCTTGCCTGATTTAGCTGGCCAATCAAAGCCATTTCCTGGGATGTGGCAGCTTTCACATGCTGACAGCTTCTAGGAGCCACGGGTGAGAGTAGGATGCAGGGTGGGGACCAAAGGTGGACAAACTTCCCCAGAAGGAACATGACGTGTCCTCCACCAGAGATACCACCCCTCCACTAGCAGCCCATACACCACAACTACAAAACAATTGCATAATAGCACAGAAACATTTTCATAATATAGCAAAACCATAGCAATTTCATAACATAGCAATAAACAATAGCAAATATAGTAACATACAAAAGACCACCTTCCAATACTATAAGTATAGCAACATGCAGCATCCAAAAGCAAAAACAGCCCCCCTCCTGCAGCTACTTGCACGGTTTCCAAGGGCAAAGGTTGGGGTAGCTGGAAACACCCCTCCCATGCTGTTAAATCTTACAGTGCATTCAAGTAATATTAATTATCTGAGAATAAAACTACACTCGTAGGTCTTTATAACAGGCCCATAAATCAGGAAGAAAAGCTAATCCAATGAGGTATCCAATAAATCTTTGATGGAGGAAATAAATCCAAAGCAAGTTGTTAAATTTAATTTTCGCCATCGACACCGCAAAAGCTGTATAACACAGAGAGGAGGAGGGAAACAATATATATTTATTCAATGTTTTTGACCCAAGTTGGTAACAATGTCAAACACAACTGTTATTGTGGCAACTGCAGTTTACATCCAGGCTGAAGCTTTTCTCTGAGAATTTTTAGACATGTAGCGGAAAGACCCATTTCTCCAGAGATGGCACCAACTGGAAAAATCTCTCTACCAACAGACAGGCTGAGGTAATCCCTCGGTCCTGAGAGATAGTCGGGTAAAACTGCCTCACACACAGTACAGCAAGGAGAAAATGGAGCTCTCACATAAAGACAATGTCATTTTCTCAGAAACTATGACACAAAGCACAGAGGTCTGTGCAGTGTTATTTTTCTAGGAAAAGAAGGGCTGGAACTTTCATGAAAGCCTCCCTTGGTCTCTTATAATGGCAATGGCATCCATCTAAGAGGTGCCAGAACTGAGTTTTGGTGAGTTTTGGCTGTAAAAAAGCCCTGGATCTATGGGAATTAAAGGTGAAAGAACTCAACTGATTTTCCCAAAAGGGGTTTCTTTTCTCTGCATAGCAGCAATAACCAGAGAGTGTTTCTAGTTAGCTTTTGTTTTCTTCCTTAGGCTTTATGTGTCTGGAAAAACTGAAGCCTGAGTCAGATGTTCACGTTTCTTAAACATTCACTCACTAGTTTGACTATTAAGGGGAGGGGCAGAGACAGTAATGGATGAATTTGGCAACTTTATTTACTCTGAATTTCTCATTTTTCAAATTTAAAATTAGATTATTATTTACTTTCCACCTCAGCTTGCAATTTTTTTATATAAAGGTCTGTATGAAAATTTGTTAGCATTTAAGTGTGCATTTTTGGTAACATACACATTTTTGTGTGCGATTTTCTGTTTATCCCTCCCAGATCTATAATTCCCAGGAACTTTAACAAATTACATTTCCAGGATTGTCCCAGGGGCAGGATGTATACGTGAGTTAAATATATGTTGTTTCTGCAGCCTTATTGTCCTTTGCAATTTCTTTATTTAGGGAAAAAATACAGTACCACATAAGGATATGCTTAGATTACGTTACATTAAATCTGCCCAACATATGGAGAGTGTCATTTAATTTCTCATTTCCTTTATTATTAACATTTAAAGTGTGGTTGTTATACTGTGTGAAGTCATTTTATTGCTTTCAAAGGGCTTTGGAATCAAAAACTTTTTTTTTTTTAGTGTATCATGCAAGCATGTCATAAATAAAATAAAATAATCATTTCCATTAATTCATAGTGTTCTATATTAAAATGATCAAACACGCACTGGGGACCTCTGCCCTTTTTTCACCAAGTTCAGCTAAAGGTCGACAGAATTCTTATTCTAGTAAGGAACACTCAGAAATTGACTGAATAATGGTGCTGTTCAAGAAAGCAAATTAAATCAGAAATGCTTTCCCCTAACTGTTAGCTCTTTAATTTCCTTAATCAGAAGCCAGTACACAGGAAGAAATTCCCAGGTCACTTAACTATACATGGAGATGTAGTGCTTGCTGAAAGGGCCCTGCAAGGGACATGCAAAATGTGGCACCACAGAGGCTCTGCTGCCAAGTATCAAAGAGAGAAGTCTTGTTTTCAATGTTTTGGTTAGGAAATAAGTGAGTTATCTAAAGCTTCCTCTTGGAAATTAATTGAATTACTGTAAGATGTGGAACACATTATATAATATCTGCGACATTTAGTCAGGCATAGCTCATTTGTTATCATTTTCTTCAAAGTAGCTACTCACAGTTGTTGTTGTTGTTGTTGTTGTTGTTGTTGTTGTTTTTAATATTTGCACTGCGCTGGTTGCACCAGTAATGCTGAAGGCACCAATCACCTGGTCAGATTTTGTGCTGATTGACAGCCAATTCATAGGTCATCATCTTAATGAAGGAACGTCTACAATTAAACTCCTGCCACCTATATGGGTCTATCAAACAACAGTGAATGATTCTTTCTTCTTCTTTCAACTAGCAGGGGTCAGGAAAACTCAAAAACAGTCTAAGCAAAGTATGGTTCTACTGCAACATAGCAGTGTTAGGAGTCTTGCTCCATGCTTGCAGTCATGGGATTGTTGTCTATCACACGACGGTGTACGTTTTCATTCCACAGTGTGGGAAGTGACGGAGACAGGACGTTTTGGTTTTAGTGTGTTCCGTGAAGTGGGACTATTGTGCTTTGTTCCTTATCTCTTTGCTGTCTGATGAGAAAGAGGAAGGAGCTAAGTCAGAATGCTTCAAGTGTATTATATGTAAATAAAGCAGATTAGCCAAAATGCTGAGCTATTGAGTCTGTTATGGGAACTGCAAATACTATGCAGGGTCACTAAGCTATTACGTATCAGTCTTTTGCCTTTTGGTATCAGTCGCTGTGATGTGCAGGCTGGAGAAAGCTTTTGAAGCTCCCGACATACCAGGAGGGAGAGAACATGCCAATCGGGCATGTGTCTCTACCAGGGTCCTACACACGAGTAGGATGATCCTAACAAGCAGATGCTTCTTGCCAGGCTAATAGGCTAATGATTGAAGTAGGATGAATATGTTTCTTGTTCTAGAGGAGTGTTATTTATTTGAAAGGCTGTCCAAGGAAAGTCTTCTCTTTGCATGCCTCTTCTGTGTGGCGGGCTTTGGGCTTTCAATTTTCAGTGGTGCCCTTTGAGACACTGAAATTCAGTCATTGACTCCCACCTCTCGCCTTCCATTTTAATTAATTGTTGTAGCATCCCATGCAGTGCCCTCTCGGCTCAGTGCCCAATGTGGGCAAACCAGTCTCACTCCCCATAATCCACCTCTGAGACCTGTCTAGTGTAACCTTAAGAATCAAGGGCAGGGACCTTGAAGGTGCTCATCAACATTTAGCACCTGGGCAGCAAACTAAGAAGGCACACAGATTATCAACTATGTTGAGAAGTATTGTCATTCTAATAGAAGTTTTATAACCTTTCCTCACACATGAAGAGGGGGTAAACGGGAGCATCTCAGAATGAGTCTCACAATGGCTTAGTCTGCATGTAAGACTAGGCTATATCATGGTTCCATGCAAACATGGGAATATGCAGGTCCCCAGATAGATGGTTGTAGTCGCTTTGCTCCTCTTTTGGTCTCACTGGTACTGCACTGCTGTGAGCTAAGCCATGTTTTAGCTTAATACATCATCTCAGTTTGGGCTTGTGATTTTTTTGCTACAACCACAAGCTGTAAATTTTAATTACTCATTTTTAAAGCTGTTTTTTATTTATAATTTTAGTATTTCTTGTAAACCTCTTAGAGGTTTTATTACAATCAAGCAGGGTTTTTATTTTTAAAAATATTATTTTAATTGAGATAAAATAAAGCAAAAACAATGGTTTAACAACATTGCATGTGGACCGAATCAATGGCATATTATGTTGTCAATTTGTCTGGATCTATAGTTCTTCATGGCAATTGGTCCTGTTCTCTGTTAGAACAGTATCTTCTTGAAGGCCATCCAAGCAGTTTTAATAACTTGCCTTGGCAACTTACTGCAGAATAGCTGCTGTTGTAACATAGTTTTATGTAGATACATCACTTTATACATCTGATTAACTTCTTGCTTAGCTGCTGCTAATTTGCAAGTTTAGCATATCTGCGAGCTATCCCCATAGGAAAATCTGGACCCAAACTTTGTGCCACACAGCATGGGCATGCTTTTGGATTGCTTACCACCCTTGTAGTTTGGGGGCTGAGATCCAAAAAGTTCCTTTGGGTGTGCCTATAGGATATCACATGCCCTTTGGGATATTTAAAGCTTAATTCTGTTTGAGTAACAGATTTCTTCATGCCACAAAACTGTTATGAATACAGCAACAGATTTACGAGCTTACAAGCAATTCCCAAATAACTCACAAGGACCCAACAGACCTGTTTTGGGTTTATTGAACTGAATGTTAACTAGAAAACAGGAAGTAAACTGCAAAGCTGGGTAAGATTTAAAGGAAAACTATATCCCAGAAGGATAGCAAAACCAGTAACACCATTTAGTAACAGATAAGAAAGAAATGTCCATGGGCCTACTCTGCATATCATTAGTATTAGATATCACCCATACTGTTTAAAATATCAAAGGGGTGAGATGAGATACAGAAGACAAAACAACACAACAGTGTGGAAACAAATTACAGTATCTTAGATAAACTTCAAAAGGAATTCAAGAAGTGTTCCTGTGCTTACACAGATGTTGTGAATCTGTTTGGATTACTAGTAACACTGGACCATTTTTTTCCAAAATCAAGGAATGCAAAAGCTTTAGTGAGAGCTTCCCTAAGTAAAATGCGAATCTCTCTGTCCTCTGAACTAAAACAATTCAGTCATTTCTTAGATACTGCTGAAGGATGTGGTGGATGTGAGGATTCTGCACATAGTAGCTTAAAGGTGATTTACAATAAGGGCCCAGTTGAAACTTTCCCAAATGTTGCCATGGCTCCTCACCGTCCTTTATCTAATGCTGCCATTTTTGAAAGCTGAAGGAGAAAGAGTGTTCTCCAATTTAGCCTTTTATTAAAAATAAGTTTTGCTCCACAAAGCTACAATCAAGACTGTCATCATTATCTGTTCTTCCCATAGAATGAGATCTTCTGAGAGAAATAGTTTTCGATAATCTCCTCCTCAAATTTGCTGGCAAGAAAAGCAGAAAAAGAAGATACCTTTTAAACATTCTGAATGTACTTGGTCATTGTGCATTTTTTTTTAACTTTAGTTAAAGTTATAAAATCTTGACATTCTAATGTTAAACATAGTGTTTTGTTTTTTAAAGAGTATTATATGCATACTTACTTTTCCCAGCTGAGGCATAAAATTACATTGACACAAGGTGCTATGACAAAGAGGAGGTGGGGAGAGGCCTCAAATGAGCCTTCTGCCCTGGGCTTAAGAAATATTTTTTTTTTAACAGTAAGAAGGGTGGAGGATTGTGGTATGACCACTGGAGCTGTCAAGAGGTAGAATTTAAGGTGTTGAGATAGCGTTTTTAAAACCATTTAATTGTTTTTATTCAGTTTTTTGTATGTTCTGAATTGCCTGGAGCTAATGTGAAAGGCAAAATGCAGATTGCGTATGTTGAGAAAATGGAACTAAGCTGGCATTACTCCATGTTTGTTACACGTTTTCACAATTCTATTTACCCCTCTTCAAAATGATGCATCTTGGACCACTTACCGGTATATCTAGCTCCTGTAGAAGATGCAATGATGTTTCCATTATGGATGTTGCAAGTGATTTGCAGCGCACTGCACGTAAATCAAACTGAACTTGACACTAGCCTCCAGTAAATACACAAATCCTTAATCTTTCCAGCTTTCTTTAGTTTAAATCTTTAACTTTTTCTCTGCCCCTAATGGGGGAAATGAATAATTTGCCTCTTCTTTTTCACATCCTTTCAAATATTTGAAATCTCTCATGCTTGGCTCCTATTTATTCGTTTATACATCTTTGGAAATCAGCAGCATATACAGTGAATCTTGCTTTGGTCTTCAGGTTTGGCCTTGGGGGCTCCCTGAAACTATGGAAATTTTAAGAAATCATCTTACCTAGGCTACTATTTGAATGTTCCTTATAGTCCAAGTTTTGGATAAGTATGAAATTGGTGTATGTGTGTGTATGAGAGAGAGAGAGAGAGAGAGAGAGAGAGAGAGAGAGAGAGAATGACTATGCAAAAACAAGAGGAGAGATGGAGGACAAATTGGTAATGCATAAGCATCAGCATTTTGAATTACTTTAAGTGGAACAAAATAAGATTTGTTTAGCCTTGATAGAATTTGTGCAGATCTTACTTCAGAGAGCAGGGGGGAGGTAATGTTTCTTAACCATTACCACATACCCCAATGTTATCATAGTAAGTTCTCTAGCTTGGGTGGGCAATGGATGGTTTTGTGATATAATCAGTCATCTTCTGACAGGAAATTAGCTCTGCGGGAATTTGTTAGAAAATGAATCAGCCATACACTGACACTTTCTATTTCCCTAAGTATAACGTAATTGGTAAGTGGTATCTAATGTCTGTGGTAATATATTAAATAAAAAGCCCATTATATACGCAGGATTCCATTTTCTTATTTGAAAGACACAGGTTGTAGGCCTAAAAGCACTTATGGCAAAGTGGTTACATTGAAAACTTTCTGAAATCTATGGGTCTACTGTAAACATTCTGGGGTGTACAATACTATGTAAAGAAAAATCTACCACCAGGTCCATTAGATATTTGCATTATGTCTGGGCTCACCAGTGTAGCTGCACTGTGTTACTTTTGGTCCATGGTGCATTATATCTAGATAGCTGAAGAATGCTTAATTTGTGTTTGCTCCTGAGACATTTCTAGGGGGTGGGGAGTGTCCAAGAAGGTCTTTATCACAACTATCCAAAATGTCATAATAAAATAGCAAGCAAGTTGAAATCTCAAAGCCTTGCTCACAGTTTACAGCACCAACAAGAAGTCACTGCAGGAGTGTAAGAATAACAGGGAGCAGAACATTATGTCCAAAAGGCATCTTGTAAACTGCCATTGATCTGGAAAAGTACTAAAAAAAAACAAAAAACCACCTTCATCAAAAATCGCAATGGTTGGGATGTATCTGGTAATTTTAGTTTTGTGGATCACTGCTTGCCATTTGCAGTGTCTCTTGAATGTGCCCGCTCTACTGTTATCAACCATGTAGTCATGTTTCTTTCTCGGTATGTAAGATTCCTCCTCTGCCAATGAAGAATTCCTTTTCAGCATGTTTAAATTATTGTTTTTTATTGTAAATTTTCAGAAAGGGTATGGTGGATGTGGTTAGTATTGCAATATTACTGATAATCTTAAATTATCTGGACAGCTGGATTTGGCTGGTTTTATATTTTATCTGACCATATGATTCTGCAAATGTGAAATTCACTCATCAGGCTTTTGATGGTTATTGCATAGCAGTGGAGTAGGACCAGGCCTCCTAGCTCTGTCTCCCAGCATCATGCCCTGCACCTGCCTGCCTCCATCCCTCTGATTCTTGCACATTTGGCAAAGCTGAATTGACTCCACCTTTTGCTCTTTGCCAAATGCACAGAGATCAGAGAGGCCGGCTGCACTCAAATAGGCTTTTCCATGATTGGGATTACAACTGGTTCCCTACTTCAGATCTTTGCTGAACATGCAAAGATCAGAGCTAGGTGGACAACTTTAGTGTTTGAAGCAGACACCACTCTCATTCACACAGAGTGGTCTACTTGGGTGGGTTTGGGGAAGAAATGAAAATAAATTTTGCAAGCAGCTGAGCAGGTCTTTCCATCTTCAGGTTCCTCTACAACTTACTTTTATAACATTTTTTTATTGTTTGTGGTGGAAATGTTATTCTGCACCCCCAAGATAACCTGCTTTGTAAAGGTCTTTGATAAGGGCTCGAATCACTGCCCCTTTCCCTTCTTCCCTCCAGGAAAAGTAGCTCAGAAATAATTCTTTCTGGTGTGTGTTTGTTCGGCAACATTTTTTTCCTATTAGCACACAGTTCAGATTGAATTTGTTTTGGCTACTTAGAGCAAGCCTGCATTTCCACCAGTACAAATTGAATTGTAAAGAGATAGGTTTCAAGACGTCTGCCAAGGATTAATTCTCCCCTGCAGATATGTAGAAAGATTTATTGTCCACTGGATAGTATAGAACTTTGAACCGGACCAGTTTTGCCTCTTTCTCGTGTCTGCACAGATTATTTGTTTCATTCTCCATGTTCCATCTTTCACTGTTGCAGTTAAGTAGTCAGTACAGAAAAGCCTATTTCTCAAGCCTGCAATTCAGTATTCTGCACTGCCAAATGCAAGGCCATTGGAGAATGACATTGACATTTTCAAAAGGGGGAAAATAAATAAGGTTAAGAGTAACAGTAGATGAGGGGGATATTTTTCTTTCTTTTTGGGAGCAATATAGAAGAAGAGTTTATATTGTCATTTTCAAGATATTTTAAGGCAAGTCCATAGAAGGCATGCAACCCAGCTAAGGGCGTTTGTTGTCTTAACGGGCTGCTTCTCAATTAGTAGGCTAGGACCCACCATGGGCCTTGGGACATTTCAGGTGGACCTTGGTGTCACAGCTTGCTCAAAGACTTCCCACTTTTTTGTCCCACCCTCTAGATATGCCATCAGCTTTCGGTTGGGCCACTGCCAGCACCAGCAATTCCTTGCATGCTCAGTAAAGGTAGCTGGGAGACAAAACGGTTTAGAGCAAGGCGGTGGGGGGTTGGGAGAAGAGAAGGAAGATCTTCCTACTCTGAGGGGAATGGGCCAGAGCAGGTGCTGAATGAGACTAGAAAGAGAGATTAAAGGTTCACATAAGTGGTTGAATGTGAATAGAAAGGAAAAGAAAAGAGAGAGAAACTGTGATAGGAGGAAGGAATGACTGTAAAAGGACCAGGGAAGAGAGATGAAGGAAAGCAGGAGCTTGGGAGATGGGCGAAAATAAGGTGCAAGTTGAGTGTGACAGAATGGAGGCATGTGAGGGTGGGAAGAAGAAATGTAAATGAAAAGACCTTCTCTGGATCAATAAATTCAGCCTAAGATGGGTTGGCTGCCACAATACCTCCAGAGCAAATGTTTGTACTCAACTTGAGCTATTGAGCTCCTGGCCACAGGGAAAAGGCTGTGGCAAAACATCTACCAACTTCAAAAGACAAATTAGATATCAGCAAAAAATGGTACTAGGAAAGTACCAGTAGTTACCCTCATTACCATTTCAGTAATTTTCAGCCATCTCAGATAGGTCCTGGGGGCATAAGGTTTGGGAAACCTCCCCTTAATGAATGTGCAGTTAAGGCTCGTCTACACTTCTGGTTATCCTGTGCCTAGAAAGCATGGGTCCAAGCAGTTTTCCTCTGGTCCCACCACATTCCCCAGGAAAACCCACTGTTTACCAGACAAACACAGAAAAATCAATTGACGTTTGTTTCGATTCAGTGGTAAACAGTAGGTTTCCCTGGGGGAAAGTGGCGGGACAAGTGGCAGTGTGGACAAGTCCTTAGTTATTGGCAGGGGGACAAGGAGAGGTGAATCAGGCATGAAATGCAAGATTCATGAGGGGATAGGGCACAATCTGACAATATCAGGTTTTTTTGAAATCAAAACCAACTGGACAAGGAGTTGGTCATAATTACCCAATGATTAAAGTATGGTCCCTTGTCTGCACATGCTTAGAGGTATTCCTTCCAGCTGGAAGTTACATAGAAAACCATGCCTGCCTGATGTATGGTACCAGTTGCATGAGGAAGAAGCAGGGGGAGGAAGTAGCATGAGGCTATTTCCTAATGATTATTCAGATTTCCTCCTTCCCCTGGGTCAACCTACCTACCATCTTCCCTTCTGTAGCTTTCCAGAAATCTTCAGCATTTTTTCTTCTTCCCTGTGTGCTCTTGCCATTGATCAATCAAAGCCAACTTCATGTCTAATCACAGGAAAGGAAACAATCTGTCATTTAGCAAACAACAGGAAGTTTTAAAATATTTATTACATAGTGAGATTTTCCATTTACTTGCTTGTGAAAAGGGGGGAAATAAGGGCTGTGTATATAATGAAGCATTTTGCAATTCTGTCCTCTCAGATATACAGCTTTAAATGTCAATCAAGTATGTACTTTTCAGATGTATGTAATTGATGTATTAACTTGTATTTCTTTTTATACTGTGTGATATGGTCCAGGAATTTAAATTGTATTTAGATAACCTAGGATGGCCTTTCGCCCCCCCCCCCCACAAGCTGGAGACAACAGATTGATTAAAAAGCATGGGTCAGCATTCAACCTCTGGATTAAAGTTATATTAAAAGAAGGAGAATAGCTTTGGGGTTTTCAGGAGAAAATGAATATTCAACACAGTCATAAACTGTGTATAGTCTTCTTAAGACTATAACATCTATAATTGCACTACTGTTTGTGTGTGTGTGTGTGTGTGTGTGTGTGTGTATACACACACACACAACACACACACACAGTATCTCATAGCCTGATAACTACAGTATGTTTTGTTCTGCTTGGATGGGAGAATTCTACTCAATAATTGAGGAAACCAGTGTTGTGTGAGAATTAATGATCTCACCCAGTCAATATTATACTTGCTGAAATTCTGGTCACCTTAATTGGAATTAATTGTTTCATTAGTGTGGCCACTTTTTCAGTAACCTTACTAACCGAAATTGAAGTGTCACTGGACTACAGTGTGTTTTTTTACTTCCTCATGAGTAAACCAGGGATAGCCAAATGGTGCCCTCCAAACGTTTTTGGAATGATGCTCTTCCTAGCATCATCTGCTAGGAATGATGGCAGCTGTAGTCTAACAACATCTGGAGGGCATTCCATTAGCTGCCCCTGCCTTCAGTTATGCCTGGCATTCCAGGGCATAAAGGCAAATACAACTAAACCACAGAAGGGATCTGAGATCTTCAGCAAAGGTCCATCTCTCAGTATCACCATCCTCACAGGAATACTGGATGAGGACGCAAGAGAAGGCCTTCTCCCAGACTTTGGAACTCCCTCCCTAGAGAAGCTAGACTGGCTCTCTCCTTGCTATTCTTCCACTTGCAGGTGAAGACTTACTTGCTCCAACAGGCATTTGGGAATTGACTGTTTTTAATGAAAGTACTGGTGCCATGCTGTTTTTATTGTAGTTATTTGTATACTTTGAACAGATTTTATATATTTATATAATTTCAATGCTGACAATGCTTAATGGTATTTTAATGATTGATTTTTCTATGTTTTTAGCTGTTCTTGTTTTTATCTGTAAGCTGCCTTGAGTCCTATCAGTGGAAAAGGTGGGGCATAAAGATATAGACAACAACAACAACAACACACTCCTTTAGTAGACAAGAGCCTCAACAATAAACTGAAGAGACCAAATATGAATCCTAGTTTAGTTCAACGTCACGATGCTGTTTTAATACCAGGTAGTGATCATGGGTAATGAATTCAAATAGCGCACCTAACCTACTTCACAGGGTTGTTTTGATGATAAAATGGGAAGGAGAATCATCTATGCCAGTTCGAGATCCTTGGAGGAAAGATGGGATATAAATGTAGAGGCAGTACAACGCTACTACAGTGTCATCCTATGGGAAATATTTTGTGCTACAAGCACTGTATATCTTCCATAATTTAAGACGTAAAGGTGTGAGAACATATACAAACCATTTGTAGGAATATATATATATATATATATATAGGGTTTCTGATATTCAGTCATTCCATGTATTAAAAATCATACATCAGGCTAGGTCATTAAGTATCATTTATCCTGCTTTACAGAACTCTTGGGTACAAGAAAAATGGTATATAGACTCTACCATTTTAGAAAGAGTAAAAACTCTGCTTAGTTTTGCTTCCCTCCATCTCAAGAACTCCAGCATATACCCCCTCCCATTTGAACTTGAATAAATCACATTTCCTTATATGAGTCATAATATTGAGTATATTTTTATAATAAATTGGGAAGGGGAAAAGGATGACGCATTGTGCTTTCACAACCATTTGTTTTTCTCTCTCTTACTCTCCTTGTCTTGAAACCTGAGCTGTAGAACTTCAAACTTCTACAAGCAGATTGAAGTGGGAATTTGTCTGCAGGGAGCCTGGCACAAGGGCTTTAATGGCAATAAAACAGGACTGCAATGTTTTTAAAAGTTTTAGTCTTCAGAAAAGAGTCTGTATACTTTTTATAAAGTGAAGAAATTCTGAGACAGGTGAGAAGCCCTGGATTTAGTCTGTTCTCCTTCACTCTCCCTGGTAGCAGTTTTGTAACCAGTGTGAGGAAAAGGGAGTTTTTGCTTTGCTTTGCTTTTGTATCATCATTGTATAGATAACCCCATTAAAAAGATAATTCTATATATCATATTATTGTGAGTTTAGGTGTTGGGGTAGGGTGTATGCCTGAGTCCCTTCTACCATAATTCCTTGACCCAACAAGGATTCCATTGCTGGAATAGCAAGCAAGTTTCTTGATAATGACCTAAGAATGGAGGATAATGAAGGAAGTGGCTCTGTGCCAAAGAGAAAATGTGTGGGTCCTCCTCCCTCAACTGCCTGTTAGTTATAAAGACAACAGCTAGAGTTCAGGTGTGAGAGCTGGAAGCAGGAGGAAGCAGGCAGAAGCCAGAGAGTAAGACCCATGCCTAATTTCTGCAGGAATCCAAGGCTGTGGCCACGGGGAAAGCAAGAGCTTCTTGGGCTATTAATGCTGTGAGCTCCTCCATGATAGGATCAGGTTGTAAAGATGTGTGAATAAACAACATATCATAAAGACAGCACAGTTTCCGCTATCCGAGTAAACTGAATCCCGGAAAAGTGCCTGGAATCCCTGGAACTCCTCACCTCTCAGAGATTGGGATGGCATGTAGCAATAGCAATCATTGCAGCAACATCTTATCTGTGGATTCATTCAAATATAATTAGGTGCAAAATTCAGTTTTTTGTTGGTGTTCTCTATGATTTGAATACTTGTATCAAAGTGGGCCATTAGACAAGTATTTTTACTTACGCTTTTATTTAGAAAAGCATATTTACAAAGAAAAGGATGGATGGAGCTTGGAGTGAGAACAGGTTGATTGACAAGAGTCCAATGCTAGAACGAGGGAAGATTTCATCATCCGCCTGTAAGTTAATGGAGGGCAGATAAAAAAGGTGATGCTCATTAGATGAAAGAGCAGAGGAGATGAAGTGTGCTATCGACTACTAGGAACTGTTAGTGGACAGTTGTTGTTGCTTTTTGTAGTATATCTTTAAAATAGTATTTTCAAGGGGACAATAATACGTATCATTTTTAAAAGAATTCATTATTCAGCAAATAAAGTGGCCAATTATGCACTGCCAGAGAGGTTTGCATCACAAAGAGAGGACAAAACAAGATACCAGTCTGCATAAGTATTTGCATATGGTGATCTGTAAGTTTAGGTGCAAATTTAGAAATAATGACTAAAATTGTAATTTAAATATAAATACAGCAGGGCACACCATAGTGGGGAAGGTATCAGTCTGCTGTTCAGGTGGTGCTAGTAGGGCAGCCCTCAGGTGTCCTCTATAAGGTAGAACACATGGTCACCCTAGTTGAACATAGTAGGTACAATCTATATCTGTGATCCATACCAGGCATCCCCAACCTTCGGCCCTCCATGTTTTGGACTACAATTCCCATCATCCCTGACTGCTGGTCCTGTTAGCTTGGGATCATGGGAGTTGTAGGCCAAAACATCTGGAGGGCGGCAGGCTGGGGATACCTGATCTATACACATATGTCTATAAGGGGGGGCAATGCTGTGCACCTCTGCAAATTAGGAAAACAAAATACAAAAGCTGTTTGTTTTTTCATTTGCCAATAATGAAAGTCGGTAATTTGACTTTTCCCTGCACAAATGCAATTTGAATCTTCCTTGAAATGGGAAGCAAAAGAGAACTTGATGTCCAAGCTGCTGCTTCCTCAGAGAAGTGACATCTCATCTTATTTGGTTGCTTTAAGAAGTCTATCACAGTAATTACCAATAGACCATGCAGACAAAAAGCCCTTTGCCGATTCCCCCTGGAAAAAGTGATGGGGTGTCTTAAAACATCCATATCAACTGCGGCGATTAGCACATAGATTTTGCTTTCCCCACATTAATGTAGAGATGTGCTGTAGGCTGTTTGGAAGAGACAATTTATTAAAATTGCATCTCCATTCACTCTGAACTTCTGTTTAGTATGTCAGTGCCTCTTTGCTGGAAGAGCATATTGCACTATGTATTTTAATACAACCTGGAATTCAGAATGTGCATGCCATTTCAAAAACTTAATAGAGGGCTTAGTTTACCTCACTGATATGTGATTCACAATTATGTATTATATTAGAGGTACTTATCTGTTTATATGAGGTCTGTCCTGACTTGTCACACTGATTTTTTAAAAAAATTATGCTTATTTTCCCTTGATTAGCTTGGAATTAGAGTAGATGCTGAGTTATTACATCTGCTAATAACTTGTATGAATATATTCATTTCATATTGCTGTGTGTTTGCGGTGTTGATCTTTCTCAATAAAAGAGAGAATAAATCACAGTTGAGAATAAGCACATTTATTTCACCAGGCTGATTATTCCTGCAAATCATTGCCTTGCATATAGCTTGTAAGTGCCTAAGGAAGAAGGAGCTAAAGAGCAGACCATGAAGTTGTAAGAGAAATAAAGGGCCCTCCATAAACCATTAATTAGAAGTGCACTTGAATTATAAATAAATAAAATTAAATAAATAAAAACCTAGTCGAAAAGCATAGGTTTTTTCTATTACCTCATAAAATCATAATTACATAGATTTTTATCCCAGTTTCATATACCATTATCTATGTTGTTTCCTAACATTTCCATGTTTTACACTGTTGCTTAATCAATGCCTTCTTTGGCTTTCAGACATCTTTATTCCTTCTTACTATTTTCCAATTACTGTATTGGTCACTGAGTATAAATGTTGTAGCGCCATGCTATTGGTGTTCTCAGTTATGTTCATTTGCCAATGATTTCATCTATTTTTCAGCTGATGCATACGAATGGCAAGGACACGCCAAGTGATTCATGGTACAAGAAAATAATAAACATATTCTGTTGGCTGAACATCATTTTGAAACACTCCTTCAGTCTCTCTCATCCTTGCACATTGATGTTCCTACCATTTTCTTCCTCGACTTGTTCATTCTTCTCCCATTGCTCGTGAAGGTACTCCATTACCAGTTGCCGGGATAGGCTAGTCCCACGAGGGCAATACAGTAGTACCTCGGTTTATGAACTTAATCCATTCCAAAAGTTTGTTCTTAAACCGAAACCGTTCTTAAACTGAGGCAGGCTTTCCCTAATGAGGCCTCCTGCCGCCGTTGCCCTTCCTCCATTTGGCTTCCGTTCTTAGACTGAGGTAAAGTTCGCAAACCGGGACACACTCCGGTTTTGTGGAGTTTGTAAACCGAATAGTTCATAAACAGGGCTGTTCTTAAACCGAGGTACCACTGTACTCAATACCATGTCACCGTGAAGAAGGAAGTATATTTTATTTTAATGGAATGTGACCCTTCTATATAACACACAATCATTTCCTTTAAGAAGGACTAATACTTAGACAAACGTATCATGTGACTTCAAAGATTGTGCATGTGAAGAGTGAAATCTTTCTTCAGTTATTAATCCAAATTCTGTACTTATGCTTATCATAACACTGTTATACTGTTCATAACATTAATCACTGTGGGACTGATGAATTGGGTGTATTCCTAGAATTGTAGAGTTGGAAAGTAAAGTAAAAGTAAAGGACCCCTGGACAGTTAAGTCCAGTCAAAGGTGACTATGGGGGTGCGGCGCTCATCTCGCTTTCCGGCCGAGGGAGCCGGCGTTTGTCCACAAACAGCTTTTTGGGTCATATGGCCAGCATGACTAAACTGCTTCTGGCACAATGGAACACAGTGACAGAAACCAGAGCACATGGTAAGGCTATTTACCTTCCCACCACAGTGGTACCCATTTAACTACTTGCACTGGTGCGCTTTTGAACTGCTAGGTTGGCAGGAGCTGGGACAGAGCAATGGGAGCTCACCCCATCATGGGGATTTGAACCGCCGACCTTCTGATTGGCAAGCCCAAGAGGCTCAGTGGTTTAGACCACTTCACAATACAATACAATACAATACAATAACCAGAAAGAGGTGATAAGTTAACAGAGAAGGATGCATGTTGTCTGGTCTTCCCTCCACATACTCACAAATTAACTGGATGTAAAATAGATCTGTAGAACTTTGGGGAGATGCCAAATTGTACTGGTGTTCATTTTCTGATGGAATATGCTGTACATGTTTGGGCATGCACAGAGAAGGGAGTTTGTTTATGGAAGCCATAATAATGTGTTGAGGTTAGTGGAGTATGACAAATGAAACTGCTGTAATCATCATAATAATGAAATAAATTTCTAAATACTTGTGAGGGAATGATGGTCAGGAAGTCTGGTAGCAAAGATACAAATAATATTCTTTAATTGGCATTCTGGCTGTTTTTTATCTGCTGTCCCTTTCTGTTATCAATGATCATGTAACACAGTCAATTGCAATTGCTCTCATGCTTGATTCTATAGTTTTACTGTCCTCTTGTTGGAAAAGGGCACTACACGTTAAATGTTATTAATTTCGTTCATTCCACACATTGTTTATCAGGGAAATTTTATCCAACACACTGCTAAGAAGAAGCAAAGTATGTTTTCATCGTGGAAAACTCAAGGGTGCCTCTTTGTGGGGCTCATCGGCTAAACTGATGGAAATATGCAGTGTATATAGTCCCTGAAAGCCACATCTGGTTCTGAAAGTTTACTGATCCCTGCACCAGATGCGGGTGGCACTGTGGTCTAAACCACAAAGCCACTTGGGCTTGCCAATCAGAAAGTCGGTGGTTCGAATCCCCGCGACGGAGTGAGCTCCTGTTGCTCAGTCCCAGCTCCTGCCAACCTAGCAGTTCTGAAGAATGCCAGTGCGAGCAGATAAAAAGGTACTGCTGCGGCGGGAAGATAAACAGTCTTTCTGTGCACTCTGGTTTCCATCACGGTGTTCCATTGCACCAGAAGTGGCTTAGTCATGCTGGCCACGTGATCTGGAAAGCTGTCTGTGGACAAACACTGGCACCCTCGGCCTGAAAGAGAGATGAGCACCACACCCCCACAGTCACCTTTGACTGGACTTAACCGTCCAGGGGTCCTTTACCTTTTTTACCTTACTGATCCCTGCTTATTGTATCAAGTTATTCACAAATACCCCCCTTTTGTAATACCATGTTTATTTAAAAAGAAAAGAAAAAATACCCAAACCTACCATAACAAACCTATAAGCTGTTCCAAAAGGGCTTTTCCACTCAGAAAGCTTTTCTGAGCAGGATAGATTCAACTGCACCATGCAACCTGCACTAGCTGTGTGGAAGGATTGCCGGGCTCATTGCTCCTTTTTCATATGTTGGATTCCCCCTTCATATATTTCTTTCTACTCATTTATTCTCTGTTAGTTCCTATTCCTGCCTTTCATATATATCTGCACACCATCTGCCCTGTGGAAAGGAAGAAGAGAGCAAAGGAGGCAGGCAAAGACAACATCAGGACATCTTCCATCCAGTCTATCCCCTTCCCTGCACAGCCATCCAGGGCCAATAGACATAATCTGCCCTTTGGCAAGGAAGGAAAGAGAGCAAGGCAGGCAGGCAAAGTCTCCTGTTGGGCTGTACCATCTCTCCCTTCATCCTGCCCCAGGCACAACTTTCAATTCTATATCATGTATTTATGTTAAAATTGTAAATTCACATTGGCAAACATTTTCTTTATCGTAGTCTCCTTAAAAAATCGCATTCTGTCAAGTTGCTATTAGCCCCAGAATTAGAGCTATGAATTGGCACTCATGTCTTCTCTTTTTGGTAGTTTTTGTTGATATCAAGCTTTGGTTTCCATTGTGGTTGCTTTCTTATCAGGATTTTTTTGCAAGGGGAGACTTGTCTGCTAATGTGTGCTTAAAAGGATTAGCAAGTGGGTTGTATGGTTAAGCATCCGAGTCAAAATTTCTCCATGTGTCTGTCTTGAAAACATATGCAAGGCCCTGGCATCTCCGTATCTTTTTCCAGTGGTCACTGCCAGCGACAGTCATGAAATGGAATCTGTCCAACTATTGTGCCATCTGTTAGTCATTACTGTAGAGAAAATTCTCCTGATTGTGCTCCGGAGAACAGTATTGAGAAGCATTTGAAATGCAGCCTGAAAGATCGTCTGGCAAAGCTTCTGCAGGAAAACACACTGAATAGGCATGCAAACCATTCATATTGTATGAATTCAGAATTGCACAAGGAATATACTGCTTTATGAATATACTGAATGTATCACTGCTTCAAATTTATTATCATGCCACAGCAGGCACCATTGTGCAAAGCTGTTTATTTTGCAGAACCAAGGGAGAGTTTGAGTCTTCTTCTTAATATATTTTTCAATGATTCATAGTGCAGTGAAGTAGCAAAGAGGAGTTTTAGATTTTTTCCTATCACATTTTTTCCTCACTCTGGAACACACCCTCTCCTTATGGGATTATTAGCATTTCAGCTGTCCCATAGTCAGGCTGAGTAAATGCTAAATTCTGCATATGTTAAAATGTGTAAGTCTAAGTGAAACATGTGCCCAGTTGTGAACCTACATCAGCTTTTCTCAACATAAGCTACATATAAATGTGTTCATTAGAAGTGGATACTTTGAGAGGGGATACTTTGCAAACAGAAAGATAGATCTGCATTATAGAACATAACAACCCACGTATCAGAATACAGTGGTACCTCGGGTTAAGTACTTAATTCGTTCCGGAGGTCCGTTCTTAACCTGAAACTGTACTTAACCTGAAGCACCACTTTAGCTAATGGGGCCTCCTGCTGCTGCCGTGCCGCCGGAGCACGATTTCTGTTCTCATCCTGAAGCAAAGTTCTTAACCTGAGGTACTATTTCTGGGTTAGTGGAGTCTGTAACCTGAAGCGTGTGTAACCTGAAGCGTATGTACCCTGAGGTACCATTGTACAGCTTCTGTGAGGGAAACGTAAGGCAGGAATCAATCCAATATCAATCCTATACCCTGTTTGTTAGCACTACAGTTCATTCACAACAGCTTAGCCATGACTTCAGATGCCCTCTGTGATATAGAAAAGCTTATAACAGGAACATTGGCAGCCTGGGTGTAGAGGACTCCTGTGTGTGGTTCTTGACGAGCGTAGGCTTCAGATGCTAACCTAAGGTAGGGGATGGCTAATTATTTGCAGGATTTGGGAAACAGATTGGAAGTTCTGGAGCAAAGGATCCAGCCAAAGCAGCCTGATAGGATCATCTGAAATCCCATTGAATCTAGAGTCTATCTGCAGGACCATCACTGTATAGGCACTGTGTAACCAGATGGCACTTTGTGGGTTGCAGACTGAGTTCTTCATTCCTAACCAGGGTTTGGCCAGGTGATGTGTGCAGCCATGGACAGATATATGGGCATAGGAAGCAGGGGTAGAGGGGGCAGGCCACCCCAGGTGCCACTCTGGGAGGGGTGACAAGATGGCCCCTGTCTCCCCCCAGCTGTAGAACGGCCGAGGACGCACACAGTCCGTATGGGCTGCGCCGCCCCAAGTGCCGGAGAGGGTTCCTCCACCACTGGAGAGAGACACATTGTATGTCCCCTTTCCGGGCTAGAGTGACTAGTCTTATAATACTAATTAGTATGCAGGAGTCTCAGAAATTGATTTCTGGGAACCAAGGGGAGGATTTGGGGAAAATGAATAAATTGATACATTACCCCTACTATTTAGACAAGCTGGGTCTAATTTTAAGGGTCAAGACAGAATTGAGTGTTGAATATGGAAAGTTGTGCCAAGAGTAGGACATTAACAGAATAACTGATTGTGGGATATGATATATATTTCAGATATTTCATTAATTTAAGAGAGAGAGATGTGTAGAAATCCCAAACTACTTGAATAATAGAGTTCATTTCTTGAATATGCTTGCCTCTGCCAGGAAATGGAGAACATCCTTGTACTTTTCCTATGGGACTAGGAGGAGCTAGAAAACTGACTTGAAGTAATGCCGGAGAGCTATTATGGGGCAGAAAGATAACCACAGCTATAATGGTTGGGCAAGCAAGGGTAAAAAGTAAAGGTAAAGGTACCCCTGCCCGTATGGGCCAGTCGTGTCCGTCTCTGGGGTTGCGCGCCCATCTCGCTTAAGAGGCCAGGGGCCAGCACTGTCCGGAGACACTTCCGGGTCACGCGGCCAGCGTGACGAAGCTGCCCTGGCGAGCCTGCACCAGCGCAGCACACGGAAACGCCATTTACCTTCCCGCTATAAAGTGGTACCTATTTATCTACTTGCACTTAAGGGTGCTTTTGAACTGCTAGGTGGGCAGGAGCTGGGACCGAACGACGGGAGCTCACCCCGCCACGGGGATTCGAACCGCCGACCATGCGATCGGCAAGTCCTAGGCGCTGAGGTTTTACCCACAGCGCCACCCGCGTCCCAGCAAGGGTAGTGATAGGCAAATAGCCAAATCAAATGTACAAGTCATATAGTACATTGGGAAAGTTCCATCTGCACAGTCATGCATAATTTTGGGAGTGTGGTGGGGATCTTTCTAGTGCATTGTGTCTGAAGGGTGAGTAAGGTCAGAAAAGCAATTGGAGCAGAGCAATCAGAGACAGTAGGGGGGAAGAAGCAGAGTAGATAACTTTCTGCAGGAACTGATGTGGCCAAGCCCACATAGTCCAGCATTCTGTTCTCACAGGGCCAACCAGATGCCTATGGGAAGGCCATAATAAGGACATGATTACAACATCACGGTCTCCACTTGTAATTCTCAGCAACAGTAGCAGTAGAACATAGCCACCATGGCTAGTGGCCATTGATTGTCTTTAAAAATATGTGGGTCAAGATTCAGTAGGAAGGAGTTATGTTCGTATGATGTCCAAAATATTCAAAACCAATGCAGAACATAGACCATGTGTTCCAGTAAGAAATAAGTGAAAAGGCAGGGTTGAATCATACCTGGCTGTTTTCTTGAGTGTCTCGATTTTGTGATGTGGTATATACTGACGTCCACCATATGTGTTATGCAAAGGGGTGTATTTATTTTTGGTGACAGCTTAGCCATAGTATGAGATTTTTGTCCTCTGAAGTTATTTTGGACAAATGTAACATAAAGTCTGGCTTTCTTATTTTGCTGAACATCCTGATGTCTGGATTTGCGTTTGGAGGTATATTTTATTTTGACAAAGAATTCCCAATTGGACACAGGAGTGACTTTTGCTTTTGGATGGTGCACTTGAATACCACATTCAAGCTCATTACAAGAGAAGCTTAGCATGTTGTGAAGGCAGGTTGGAGGCATTCAATAGCAGAAGATGGCTGCCCTTGGGGATTTTATGTTCCCAGAGATTTGCATCAATTTTACAGGAATGGGAGTATGAAAATTGCCCAGGACAGTCATTATGATTGACCTGGTGGACAGGGCTGAATGGCCCATGAGTGAATATAGTAAGTGAAGGTATAGTACAACTGACTGGATTGTAGATGGGGACCTACCTCACACATACCACTCCCTACAAGGTGAAAGGTTTAATTAATCAGTCCAGTGTCGCTTCAGGATGTGGTGAGTGCATTCCAGTTTCAACAAGATTGTTGACACCATCCTTCCTCACTGATTCTGTGATTCCATGATCCAAGTGGTGGCCTGTTTAATTCAGTTTCAAACTGCTGTTGTCCACTTCTCTATTCATTTACCCATGCAGAGGTATATTGCCCCAAGTCTTGTGAACTAGCAAGGGATTCCTTTCTTTTCTTGTGTTGCTTGACACACTGCTTTTTTTTCTGGTGTTGCTGTAACACAGTGGAAGATTGGTTGCCCTAGGAAGTACCTAGCTCTCTGCAAATACTGCACCTTCTGTACACAGAATTCTAAGCAGCCATCTCAATGTTTTATTCCTATCCAATCATGTTGCATTTCCAGTCCCCATTTATCAAATTAAACCGGATCTTGCTGAGCACTACTCATCAGTTTCAGACAAGGCCCAAAAGCAATATGATTTATATTCCTGGCCATCAGTTTGCAGCACTTGCTGCTCAGGCATTAAGACATTTATTCTTGGCCACTAAGGTCATAGCCTAAGGAGCCTGGACTGTAGAAACAGTTTTTCATCTGTCTTCTTTTTTTAAAAAAGAAATTTATAACTTTTCATATGTTGAGGAAGTTAGAAAATGGCAAAGGAATTCAAGACATCACCTGCAATGGTAAGGAAGAGTAAGTAAGGGTATCCATACCCTCCAAGTGTCCCTATTTTCTAGGGACAGCCCCGAATTACGAAAACCATCCTGGCTTCTGATTTGATCCCAGAATGTCCTATTTCCCCCACCAGCTGCCACCATGCTCAGGGAGGAGGATGAGCTGGCGCTTGTCCTGAGTGATAACAGTGTTGGCTGTGAGGGATCTACCAATTGCCTCTCCATGGCTGCCACTGCCAACCTCCTCCCTTGGGCAGCTCATAGCAGCTGCTAGGCAGCGGGCAAGGAGGAGGAGAGGCCACCACCTCTGAGGCCCAGTTCCGCTTGATGTGCCGGCTCTGAGAGGCAGGGCCACCCTAGGCGGGAATAAAGGGGGAGTGGGGTGAAGCCCAAGGAATCTTGATTTTTTTGTGCATCCACTTTTAATCTTGCCCCTTTCTAAAAATTATTGGTGTTTTTTTTTCTTTTTGTAAATCTACCAAATAATAATAATAATAATAATTAATAATAATAATTAATAATAATAATTAATAATAATAATTAATAATAATAATTAATAATAATAATAATAATAATAATAATAATAATAATAATAATATCATCAGGGTTAAGGAGTTTTCTGAGTACAGTGGAGAGTGTCTGTGCTGTGTCCTATTGGTGTAGTGGTGGTGGAAATGGTCTGCCGGGAGAGGGGTACATAAAATGGGGAGTTGAGGAGGGTCAGTTGGGGAGGGGGAGTGAGAAATGTCCCTATTTTCAGCTGAGGAATGTTGGGGGGTACATACTGTATGTGTGCCGGAAATTTACCAGATAGATTTTTACATTTTTCTGCTGCTTGTAGGCATTGTGTTGTTGAGATTCACGAGGTCAGTAAACACAGAGCCTGTTATTTTCCTTTGTTTGTTTTGACTGCTGAAGAAGTCAGTGGTTTCAAGGTCTTCCAAGCTTCCTGCAGGCTTTGCTTTAATTGTCTGCAGCATAAATGACCAGTCAACTTCTCAAAATGCTGTAGCCAAATAGAGGCTTGCATAACAACAGCTAATGACTTTTTTCACTATCCTGTTTTGTTCTATGGTGTGGGGTTTGCTTCCCACCCCCCACCCCACCCTGTTTGCACCCTCTCCAGTTAGCTTTATATCAAAATGCACCAAAAAAGAGATAGTGTTACGGTAAATGAATCCTATTTTTCAGCATGACTCACTTCTTGCGTAAAGCCCAATCCTTTCCCCTGCTGTAACTTTGATAGCATAAACCTTCCTTGTGCCACAGCAGCTACACCAACTGGTGAAAAGAGGGAGCCATTGAGGCAAAAGAAACATCTAACAGTCTTGCTTGTCCTGGTGCTAGGTCTGTGAGAGCATCCCTTGCAGATGCCCCACCTGCCTAAAAACAAAATAGAGCAACACAGCTGCCTCCATTGCACATGCATTTTCCTCAAATGTTGCTAGCTTCTGTCTCCCGGGCCCTGGGGATGGGACCAATTCCCATTACTAAAGGAAGGAACCCTGAAATAATTCCACTATCACAGCAGATCAAATGACAAGAGAGATTAATACAGTGGTGCCCCGCAAGACGAATGCCTCGCAAGACGGAAAAACCGCTAGACGAAAGGGTTTTCCGTTTTGAAGTTGCTTCGCAGGACGAATTCCCCTATGGGCTTGCTTCGCAAGATGAAAATATCTTGCGAGTCTTGAGATTTTTTTTCCGCTTTCCCCCCCCTTTATCTAATCTGCTAAGCCTTTAATAGCCTTTAATAGCCTTTTAGCAGCTAATCCCCTAAGCCTTTAAGCCTTTAATAGCCGCTAAACCGCTAATAGCGCTAATAGCGCTAATCCGTCAATGGGCTTGCTTCGCAAGACGAAAAAACCGCTAGACGAAGACTCTCGTGGAACGGATTAATTTCGTCTTGCGAGGCACCACTGTACCTAGATTTTTCTGTACAACCACAGCAGATGCTGTACCTCTCCAACAGGTTGACTTTACACCCAATGGTGTCCTCTTCCATGGTCTCTTGAGACAGATGGATGCCAACACCTACAATATTGTATATTGTTTTATACTAAAACAGTCTCAAGATAATATGTATAATACAACAAATCATAATAAAAAGTATTGAACAATCCACAGTATCAATATAATAACAATCAGGGCCGATCTGGCGTAGGTGTGTCAGGAAGGCCATTTGGCAAATTCAAATTGGGGCGCAGATTTATACTTGTTAATTTTTTAGCATTTGGAAAGCTTCACAATTTGTTTTTATACACATCGGACCAAAATGTGACACAATCTCTTAGCTAGAAATGCATGTGTTAATAAAAATTTTAAAAATCTAAATTATGCCTCACTCTGCTTTTTGGTGCCTTCTTTTGTTTCTGGATGCTGTCATTTCAATTTGTATTATGGCTAGGGGGCTCAAAAGCTGGAATTGGCCCAGGCCTCCCTCATACACTCCAACATTCCTCAGATAAAAATTGTGACATTTTATGCTACATCAGCAGAGGGTTGGGGAGGAATTGTGTGTGGAATTCGGATTTCTCCATGACAAAGTGAGAAGCCATGACGGCTTAAGGCAGTTGAAGACGTTGCTCTCTGGATCTCTGAAAGGGCATGGTAACAATTAAACAACACCCAATAAATCCCAGATTGAGTAATTGAACATGAGCTTTGTGTTTGTTTTTATTGTGGTCCAATTGCCATTTTATGAGGCTGGGAAATCATACAAGTATTGTGGGTTATATCTACTCTTTCCCTAATAGCAGGCAGTCGAGTGGACTGTTAATGCACAGCAGTAAAAGATATTTTCTTGAACTCAATTGGTCATTCTGATAACATCTATTAAATTCTGCTGTCTGCAGTAGTGCCAGAAAATGAACAACAAATTGAATGAAGGATAAGCCAACTTTTTAACTGCGCATTTTAAACTGTGCCCAGCATTGGTCTTCTGGTGCCAATTGTGTCAGTCAATGTGACTTGAAATGCTTTAATGTTGTGATGTTTCATGTACATGTAAATGTTTTGTATGCAAAAAATAGTAGCTGGGGGAGGAACAAGTGAATGATTCATGGCCCTTCCAGCCCCCTCATTATTATCAGAAAACTGGATCTATGAGGACCACACTGAAAAGCTCTTAGTTTTCATTTGATTTAGAACACATTTTGATTTATTTTTTTATCAATCTAATTCAAGTCTGAGGGGCTAAAATTATACAGCCAAAGCCTGCATTAGATCTTTTTCAAAGCTGTCCTTGTTTGGCAGTACAATGCTTCATTAAATATCAACCTTTGTGTCAACTTGTACTGTTTTTATCACAGTAAATGTTGCAAAGAGTCTGTCTTAGCTTCAAGAGACAGAAGTAGTAATTTACTGCTACTTAAGACCAAAGGTCATAGGGAAGGAAAAAAGCATGACAGTTCATGGCATTAACACAAATAAGATAACCAAATTGTCTTTTATTTTTCAAAGATGCAACTTAAGTTGCTAACCTTAGGCACATATGACCCTACTACTTTCTATGTGTTAAATTTTAAACACATTCAGATAAAGTTGTTTCCAACTATGTGCTATTGAAAGCAATGGGATTTGTTAGTCAACTAATTTGTAAAATTGGTTTCCATAGGACTTAGCCACAGCTTACTTTAGCTACCTCAGGACAAACTAGATCTTACACTGCAGCAAAAGTAGAAATCATATTAGTGTTTACTATAGCTACATTCAGTAAGCATATTACTGTTTTCTGTTCCATAAGATGAGTAAATATAGTCCTGAACAACAGGAAATGAAAGTAATGTGACAAAACACTACACAATTCTCTTTTCATGGGCTCAGCAATGCAAGTTACAGTAGATCTTATTATAGAGATCCTTTCTGCCATAAGAGCTGTATGGAACCAACACTTACAAAGACTTAAATCTGTAAGGTTATAGACAAATGAATGAGATTGTTTTGCTACTCCAGGAAAGAGGGACAGTGCAAGAAAAATATAAGGGGGGGGAGGACAAAATAATCAAGATGCACTTCTGATGGAGTAAGTTTTCTCATACCCATTAGATTATTGAAAGAAATAGAGAAATCCAGGGCTTTAGTGTAGTTGTGACTGGACAGTAACATACCCACCCAAAAACAGAAGGCAGCAGCAAGGAGAGGAATTTATATTCTTCCTAAATCAGGTTTAATTTCATGCCAAAAAAATGTTATTTTATTCTATGTATGTATATGTTAAATGCAAATAAAATGTATGGACATTGCTGTTCTACCCACAATTACCTGGGAGTAAGGCCCGTTAAGACATGCAGAGGATTACTTTGCTATTCACTAGTTAAGTTGCAGCCTGCTTGTATGTGTGCATGTATGACAACTATATATGACAAATTATTTCAACAGGAGACCAGATGTGCATGTGTGCATTGATATAAATATTGTTTTTCAAACCAATGCATGTTGCTTAAGAATCTCTACCTAATTCACAGCATACCATTTTGAACAAGCCCAAATATCTGTAAAATGCCAAAGTCAAATATAAAAAAAGACAATTGATAAGGTACTTATTTTAAAATGGTATTAGTTTATCGAGATTAACAAATATACACATTCCTTTGAGGACATGCCTGCAGTTCATGAAACACTGTATGTCAAACTGTAGCTAAACATTAAGAATGAAGGGTGAGGAAGCTCAACAGAGGAAGGGGGAGAAAATGAATTTGTGTTTAGAAAGTGACATTTTGAGCTGACACATTAAGATCTTTATATTACCCCAGTGCCAGTAGAAGCTCTAGAAGTGTAGAAAAGATTTTCCACATAAAATTAAGCTGTCAAGACTCCCCCTCCTCCATTTCTCTTTTTAGAGTCATGGTTCCCTTGGACAACACTGATTCTTTTCATACAAGCATAATGTTAGCTGTACATGCATATGTACATTCCCAACAGATTCAGACAGATTTAAAGGCAGAGGGGAGAAACAGAAGGGAAATCAATTAAAATGGGAAATGGTAGAAAGGATCAAAGACAGACTAAACACAAAGAGCAGCCAAACTTAAACTACCGTAATTACAATCCCTTGATTTCTGTGGAGGAGTTAAATAGATGCTTAAGTTATCTGATCATAATCAATGGGACTAGTTGAGATCATGCCCAGAATGCTACAGAACCAGAACTGGTAAACTCTGGTTATGCAAAGAAATCACCATAAACTGTCTTGCAGTGACGTGTTATTCTAGAAAGGTAGTTCTTTCAGTGGCTTTAGCTACCCACACAGCATGGGTTAATGCCCAACAGGAATGCAACCAACAGAATATTTTGGAGAAACAAAAAACTATGACTGAAGTAGAAGTTACACTGGAAAGGGGTTGTCACCGAGCCCCTCACACTTTATGTGGCAATTCCATTTTAGACACGCTTCCCTCTTTCACATTTTATGCAGCAATTCTATTACAGGTGTTCTGAGGAGGCAAAGCTTTTGAGTTGTTCAAACTGACAGAGTGGGCTGCTACAGATTGCTGTAGCAGGAAACTGTGGTTTGCCATTGTGCAAATAAGCCTCAGATTTGCACATTCCCCCATCTTCTCTCATGCCAGAGGAAAAGATAAGAAGCTTCTGCTTCCATTTAAAACAACAATAACAACAACAACAACTAAGAACAGTTTGCTGTTACTTTACAGTACAGATGTTTAACCCATGGTCCTGCAAATGTAAGGGATAGTGGGAATTGTAGTCCAGCAACATGTGGGATGTCAGAGTTCACCATCCCTGATTCACAGTGTGGTTTCAGAACAATCCAAAACCTGAAACTATGAACTGATCATAGTTTGTTTCACTAATCATAGTTGTAAACAAACCGTAGTTCCCTGAATTTGGATATCACTGGGAACTATGATTAATTTCAACTCAAAAGTAGGGGCTTTTGCGTCCCTCCCTCCAAAAACAGAGGAGACCAGCAGGGATGGTTGCAGACCTAAGGCTTGTTCAAGCTTGTTTATATAAGAGGAACCATGGTTTCCCATTAGCCAATGGACTAGAAAAATAGAATACAAGATAAGGCCTGGCAATCTCCCATAGTAGATTATTGTTTTGCTCACCATTCATTGCCTTGAGTGCTCCTCAGCTACCTTCACACGTAATGTTTATGCCACTAGTTGCACTAATTATAAGGCTAGTGCTTCTGTCCCATTTTCACAACAAAACTAAATATAACAATAATGTTTTTGTCATGGCTGCATCAATATTATACCTATGTTTCCCTCAGTAAACATGTTAGTGTGAAGGACTGGCACACGCATCTTAATATGCAGCAATAGACATTGACTGAGAAGTTGTGGTCAGTCAGGGCTCCCTAGTGTTTAGGGATACAGATAATCCTTTTACAGTTTCACAAGTTTCCTGCAGGAAATGTCAATGTAACACCAATCTCTAGCTTCAGCAAACACAACTGCCTATTGCTGTGCAATGACTCACAGACAGTAAACAAGAGAGTTATTGTTTCAACATTTGTAGAAATCAGCTTTAGAAGTTAACTGTTTTGAGAAACAGCTTAGAGGTTGTTGGATTTTTGCTTTTTTACAATCAAGCAGGATAGAAAGATAAAGAAATTCAACTTCCATTTTATGCACATTACAAACCATCCCCTTCTATGAGCTTTAGCAAAAATTATGAAAGAAGTCAATTCCTCAAAGACTGAGAAGACATCTTCAAACTTGCCACCACCAAAGAAATAGCTTCAATTCAAAGCTATCCATATAGAATTGTCAAACCTGCATGGATTTCTTACTATTCTGCTTACTTGGACATGGCAAGAATCAGAATTGCAATTGATATTTTGATACTTAAAGAAATAACTCACTATGCAAAGATACATAGTGCATTTATCAAGTACTTATGACTCCTATTCAAAAATAGAACTGCCTTGGAAAATCAGCCTACACAAGGACTTGCTCATGTGTGCTTTTCAGAGCTTGTGTTGTTTGCTCCTCTGCATTTCAAGGACATAATTGTATTTTTACAGCATGAACATTTTGTTCTTTCCATTTACCTCACTATAGCATGCCTTCTCCATTTATATTATATTAGTAATGTTGCTTTCCTCCTTCACAGATATGCTTTTAGAAGTTGTTCTATTATCTGAGCTCAGAGAAGTAGCACCATCAGATCAGAGGAAGATCACCCAGTGCAGGAGACAAACCTCTGGAGGAATGTGACACAAAAAAGCAGGACTGTCAGGAGCCATACTGTGTCTTTGGAGCTACAAAGTCAATTCCATGCCCTCACCCCAGACACTGGCTAGAGGAGCAAGTACAGTGGTTGCAGACCTCAGAACACACTGAGGTGGCATTGAAATGTAGAGTGTACAGAACGATTCCTGCCCCTGCCCAGAGAAGGAAGAGACGTGTGGTGGTAACAGATGACCCCCTATGGAGGGGGGCAGACGCAGCAGTGTGTGGAGGAATGACTAATAGTTTGTAAAATTGTGTAAAATTGCATAAAACCCAAAACTTCAGAACTTGACAAGGCTTTTGACATTGTCCATTGCCAGCATAATTTTTTTGCTCTGCTCTGAATTTGCCTACCCTGCAGATGCTGGTTGCAAAAAAGCTCACATTTACTGTACATACCCTGAGGAGCTGAAGATCCATCTGAAGTAACTTGCTTTCATTAGAGGTCAGAGAGAGAAGACTGGTTCTATTGGACCACATCTGATTGGCTTGCCAGATCTGCCTGAGCATAACAGGTCAAACAGCAGAAGTGGTAAGAAGACGAGAGAAGAAAATGGTTTAGCTGCCGAATGTGACAAGGCTGGCTATGAGACAGCCCTCCTTCAGACTGGAACAGAGATGGTTTGTTTAGGCTGAAGGCTAGCATTCAGGGCAGCAGAGACCTGTACTGTGCTTTGAAATAATGCCCAGAAAATTGATTAGTAATTCTGTGTACCTTGCCCAGAAAATTGTATTGTACTGTGCAAAACATGAGTCTAGCCATCGTCTATGATACATTTACTCATTCTTCATCTACATGCAAGCGTCGCTCTCTTCCTCCTTTTCCTTATTTGGTTTTCTCAGCATAACAGTAAAATTAATAATGATACATGTTCTCTGTGCAACTGTTCTTTCTACAATGTCTATTGACTAAGCAAAACTCTACAAATTTAACTTGGACATAATTGCACTATGTCTATATTTGTGCACAAAATAATGGGAAAAGATAATAGTAGAAATATTTTAGCTGCCCAGTTTTAGCAAAAGATGACACATAAGTTGTAATAGGTAAAAAGCAAATGCTTTTTTATAAACCTGTAGAGAACAGCAATGTTGTGATGGGGAAGGGAGGAACTGAGACAAGGAGTACTAATCTCCCTTTCATACCCATACTTGTGTAACAACGTGCTTAAGACTAGGACACCAAAAGCAGCTATTATATAGCATTACAATGGCTAGGATTCTGTATACAAAATTATAGAAAGGCAACCAGAAACTTAGTACCCTAGATCTTGTAAGAAAATTATAGGAGTGACTAAATATTATTTAACTCACAGATGTTAAAGGAAAAATGAGATTTCAGAGAAGTTTTGGTAGCTGGTGTCTCATAACTCAATATGTAAAGAGATAAGTGAGGATCTCAATGAAAGGTGTAGATTTTATGGAATTAGTGTTTGATAGTATTTATAAATGGAATGTGTCAGTAATCCCTTGTCATGAAAGGCTTAAATGAAAAATGATAGCTAACACTTCATTATAGATTTATATAATCCATCATAATATCTTTAGTAGTCAATATATAGTATGTTATTTTAATATATGTTAAATCTAATAACATTGCACTGTATTTATTGCATTATGCTTATGAAATAGAGTTTTTTCCCTTTAAAGAGGTAAGAAGCAAACAATGAGTACTAAAATGGTGCCATGAAATTCAGATGTTTGGGAGAAGCAGCTCCAAAAATGGACAGAGTGAAGTAGTACACTTTCCTCACTACTATGAAAGGGATTATGGATTCCACCCTCCCATAAGCGGGGACTTTCTTTAGACTGGGTGATATGAGGAATATGATAATCCCAAGATATGGTCTGAAAGCACATGAGGCTACCGCCTTCCAGAAGCTATGCTGGTGTGAGGCTGGCATAGCTTCAAGAAGCTATGGACAATCTTGGCAATCATACAAGCAGACAAAGGATCCAATCCAGACAAGTGGAAGGTGGAAGATGTTCCTGGGAGCACTGTGGGAACAATGATGAAGGCAGGAGCAAACATAATGTCCCCTCAGGTATATGTCAAGAGATAGCTGCAGTGCTTCTTTCGGGGGGGATGCAGGGGTACGCATACCCCTAAACATTTTGTGAATCTAAGTTTGGCATCACTAAGGGGGGCAGTATTTGAAAATGAGTAGGAAAATGAGAGTACCCCTAAACATTTTTAAAGAAAAAAAGCACTGGATAGCAGAGTCTGGTATTTAATGGTGTGGACATCTTAGGAACACATGACACAATATTATGCTTGCTAAAAAACACTCCTGTTTAGACAAGCCTACCAAGATGCTTAGAAAGTTGAGGTAATTTTAAACTGTTTTAGTGTTTTAACTTTGGTATGTTTTAAAGTATGGTTGTAATTCTTTCTTGATGTTATTGTTTTATCTTTTTGGTTTTTTGGTTTTACAATCAAGCAGTGAATGCACTTCATGAAAGAAAGAAATAAGAAAATTTAGATTACAAGAGAATGGCCATGAATATGGGCCAGATCATTTCTTCTACTACTGAGCAACTGCATATAATCAAACCCCATACAGGTGTGACTTGTTTGTGGAACCGTTTGTAGGCCAGAGGGCAAGCGACTCCAGCAATTCTCACTTCAGAAATTAAAACACAGCAGATTATGCACCAACATTTCCTACTCTCTTGCCAACAATATTTGAAGCTATTTAAAAAAGAGAAAGAGAAAGAGAAAAATTAGAGTCTTAATATGCAGTCAGGGAAAGAAAAAAACTGCAGATCAAAAAAAAAAGTTTACCTTTTCATCTTAAGAATGTGTCATACCTCCCTCCCTCCCTTTTCACCCTCTCCAAGTAGTTCACAGGAGATAAATTTTCAAAGTACTGACATTAATGGGATTCATGCAGCTAAATCATTGTGCAGCACTTTGAACATTTTCCGCCTATCGCTCTCTAATGAAGGTTTAGGACCTTCAATATTTAATATTTATGGTAGTTGTTACATTGGAGGGGTGCCCTGACTCCAGTGGTGCTTTAAAAAGTGTCTCGTGGGCCAAAAGAAAAACTGTTCAATTTAGCATGATGGGGGGGTGTGCTGTGGTGTTGTTTTTGTAAAGCTAAGTTTCTTAAACCAATGGCAAGAGGACAGAAATCTGTGGCACCTTGAACATTTCCTCATTCATATATGTGATAACACAGGCCTGTGAAGGCACATGGCACCATAAACAAGATAAACTTTCAGGTGTTAAAATGTGTCACCATTCTTAAACACTACTATGAATGTAGTAGAAAGGAAGGTGAAATCCTGGAGTTTGCTCTTGTAGGAAATAAGGTGTGGTCCCCCCTATGGCTCAGAAAATTACAAAGCAACAGGATGGATTTGAACATTCATGGCCCTTAAAACATTAGCTTTTATGCTGCTGCATTGCACTGTTGACTCAAGTTAAGCTTGTGGTCTTCTAAAACACCTATATCCTTTTCACATGTGCTACTGGAAAGCCAAGGGTTTCCCCTCTTATATTTATGCAGCTGGTTCTTCCTACCTAAGCGTAGAACCTTACATTTATCCCTACTGATATTCATTTGGTTAGTTTTCCAGTTCTACAAAGAGAACCACAACTACCAGACTTTTAGAAGACATCTGAAGGCAGCCCTGTTTAGGGAAGCTTTTAATGTTTGATGTATCACAGTATTTTAATATTCTTTTGGAAGCCGCCCAGAGTGGCTGGGAAAACCCAGCCAGATGGGCGGGGTATAAATAATAAATTATTATTATTATTATTATTATTATTATTATTATTATTATTACAACCTGTTAAGGTCATCTTGAATCCTGACCTTATCCCAGTTTTGTGTCATCTGCAAATTTGATGAGCATCCCCTCAATACCTTCATCCAAGTTGTTTATAAAGATGTTGAACAACAATAGGCCAAGGCAGAACCCTGTGGCACCCAACTTGTCACTTTTCCAGATCATTGTCACCATTCTGCATGGATGCACCTTTGCTACCCATTAAGAAGGAACAGGTCATCAGGTCGGGGCATTTCAACATGGTACAAGTAGTATGTGGACTGGTAGCTCAGCTGCTTTCACTGTGTTTGGGTTTGGGAACATATATATTTGGACCTATGTCCAGAATGCACAGGTTGTGTGTTTTTTAATTGCTACTCTTATATTATGGATATTATGAATTTTCATTGTTGCTGATATCTTGGAAACAGTGTAAAGCAGCAGCCACACAATGAATGAGAAGTATTCCGTTACAAAGTCTTCTTGTTGGGCTATACAGCAGCATCTAATAAGAAGGGAGATGAAAAATGCATGGCTTGCTTTGCAAACTCGTCATACTGTATTCCACTGCTGTATGACTTTGTAGCAGATTGATCATAGCACTCCTTTTTACACTTGCCATTCTTACTGCCTCTTTGAAGACACCCGAACCTGATACACCCTGCACTTTTAAAAAAGACAATAAGATGTAGTCAACGGTCTTGTTTTCAGGACCCTGTCTTTTCTTTCAAAAAAAACCAAAAACCCAAAAAATCTCACTCCATAATACCATCTGATTCTCTATTTTAAGCTGCATTCTTTGCTTTCTATACTACCTGAAGATGAGAAATAGAGATGATTTTAAGAAACCAGTTGGTGGTGCCTCAGGAACTGGGAGCACTGGTTGACAACGAAGAATATAACCAATTGATAGGTGTCCTGCATTACTACAATTATAATGTCTAGGGTTTTTTTCTATCACATATATTTAGATATTGAAAATAAAACCAGTTTAGAGAGGTGACAGCAGCTGCTAAAAAAGGGCCTGCATGGTAGAAGATAATATGATAACCATTTTTTAAACTATTATAAAAGGGCAGGAGAAGACTACATCAGACTGTCAGTTTGATATGCCTGCATAGCAAAGTTTAAGTCTCAATTGCTTTATTCCCTTAGTATGTATTGTTGTTTGAATTTTATGCACATCATCCTGAATTCCATGTTTAGATGAAGGTGTGGTGTATAAATTTTCAAAAAATATGGATGTTCCTTGCCATATAATGTATACTCATTCTCATATAATAATGCAATTTAATAAAAGGACAATTTTTATAGTAGGTATATAAATGAATAAAGAAATAAGGTATGATGACTACCAATACAATACAAATACCTTTATTGGCATTAGAAGTTAAGACATTTCAAATCACTGGGATAGATTGAAAAGGGACAGGAGTGAGGCTGTCGCACTCGATTGTTCTGCTTCACCCTGTCTATTCCCTAGAGGGATGATTCCTTAAGAACCCTTTCAGGTAAGATGGAGATTAAAAAGGAAGCCACTGAGGCAGTGACATCCTTGTCCCTGTCCACTAGGAGGAACCTCATTTGGCTTTCTCTCGGAGCCGTGGATCGCAGGTCCAACATCTTGCTCAGCATCTGTTTGTAGAGTTTGCTGTGCAAAGGGCAGTCCAAAATAGTATGGTCCAGTGAGTCCAGTACTCTGTGATTGCAGGCACACAGGCAGGCTTCATAAGATATTTGCGAGTGTCTAGTTGTGGTCACTGCAGAGGG